AACTTATAACACTTAACACCTAACACATAACACCTAACACCTAACATCTAAAACCTGATTGCATATATAAAAACTAATAAAATACTATTCACAAAAACGTAATTGTTTGTATCTTCTTTTAAATATATTCAGAGTTGGGCTTGATTTAACGTTAGGAGGTAACTCATTCCATAAAATTGGTCCTTTAAAGAAACTCGGCAAGTCGACTTGTTTGGGATAAGAAGACAAGATGACGAGTTGTTGAAACTCGGCAAGCCGACTTGTATTGGACAAGAAGACAAGATGACGAGTTGTTGAAACTCGGCAAGTGGACTTATTTGGGATAAGAAGACAAGATGACGAGTTGTTGAAACTCGGCAAGCCGACTTGTATTGGACAAGAAGACAAGATGACGAGTTGTTGAAACTCGGCAAGTGGACTTATTTGGGATACGAAGACAAGATGACGAGTTGTTGAAACTCGGCAAGCCGACTTGTATTGGACAAGAAGACAAGATGACGAGTTGTTGAAACTCGGCAAGTGGACTTATTTGGGATAAGAAGACAAGATGACGAGTCGTTGAAACTCGGCAAGCCGACTTGTATTGGATAAGAAGACAAGATGACGAGTTGTTGAAACTCGGCAAGTGGACTTATTTGGGATAAGAAGACAAGATGACGAGTTGTTGAAACTCGGCAAGCCGACTTGTATTGGACAAGAAGACAAGATGACAAGTTGTTGAAACTCGGCAAGTGGACTTATTTGGGATAAGAAGACAAGATGACGAGTTGTTGAAACTCGGCAAGTGGACTTATTTGGGATAAGAAGACAAGATGACGAGTTGTTGAAACTCGGCAAGCCGACTTGTATTGGACAAGAAGACAAGATGACGAGTTGTTGAAACTCGGCAAGTGGACTTATTTGGGATAAGAAGACAAGATGACGAGTTGTTGAAACTCGGTAAGCCGACTTGTATTGGATAAGAAGACAAGATGACGAGTTGTTGAAACTCGGCAAGTGGACTTATTTGGGATAAGAAGACAAGATGACGAGTTGTTGAAACTCGGCAAGCCGACTTGTATTGGACAAGAAGACAAGATGACGAGTTGTTGAAACTCGGCAAGTGGACTTATTTGGGATAAGAAGACAAGATGACGAGTTGTTGAAACTCGGCAAGCCGACTTATTTGGGATAAGAAGACAAGATGACGAGTTGTTGAAACTCGGCAAGCCGACTTGTATTGGACAAGAAGACAAGATGACGAGTTGTTGAAACTCGGCAAGTGGACTTATTTGGGATAAGAAGACAAGATGACCAGTTGTTGAAACTCGGTAAGCCGACTTGTATTGGATAAGAAGACAAGATGACGAGTTGTTGAAACTCGGCAAGTGGACTTATTTGGGATAAGAAGACAAGATGACGAGTTGTTGAAACTCGGCAAGCCGACTTGTATTGGACAAGAAGACAAGATGACGAGTTGTTGAAACTCGGCAAGTGGACTTATTTGGGATAAGAAGACAAGATGACGAGTTGTTGAAACTCGGCAAGCCGACTTGTATTGGACAAGAAGACAAGATGACGAGTTGTTGAAACTCGGCAAGTGGACTTATTTGGGATAAGAAGACAAGATGACGAGTTGTTGAAACTCGGCAAGCCGACTTGTATTGGACAAGAAGACAAGATGACGAGTTGTTGAAACTCGGCAAGTGGACTTATTTGGGATAAGAAGACAAGATGACGAGTTGTTGAAACTCGGCAAGCCGACTTGTATTGGACAAGAAGACAAGATGACAAGTTGTTGAAACTCGGCAAGTGGACTTATTTGGGATAAGAAGACAAGATGACGAGTTGTTGAAACTCGGTAAGCCGACTTGTATTGGACAAGAAGTACAATCTCCACTATTACTTGATAGGGAGGGGTGCTCTGGAAGATGGGATCTAAAATGGTGGGGAAAATAATGATATAGCTGCAGAAAGCAGACGAACGGCCATAAGTGACATAAAATATGGGTGTGTTTAATTAATGCTCAGTGTATGTTTACAAATTTAAATTCAAACTTAAATGATTTCAATCCAAACTGATAGGATCATTTTCAATTTTTGTACATTGGATAACAAATTTCAAAGTTATAGTGTAACATAGATATTGCGTATAATAATAAAGATTATAATTACTAGGAGTGACACAAATTAACACATTACTATGTGTCTCAGCTGAAATATAATACAGGGATGAGAATAAATTATATTACTCTTAATTCTTTATATTTTCCCCCTTTTCTTTTCAAATAAAAGGAAGAAAACAGAATATAAATATATATACAACATGATAGTAAGACAATATACATATATATATGTTTTAGGATTACCAATTTAGATAATCCCGACAGCTCGGGTGCATGGGAATAATTAATGCCTTTCACAATACTTAATTACATCGAGAATAATAATAATAGTAAAAAACAACAACAATGATTTACTAATTTAGTATATGCATGGTCGTATTTCTATCACATACTAGACAATGAAAATATATCAATAATACATGTATTAAGATAAACAGGAATGTAAATAACAGAAGTATGAAATTACGTGGTCAAAAAACAATACTTGAACTTTGTATATATGTATACATACATACACATACATACATGAGCTCAGGCGCGTAAAAAAAGGAATACTCCTTACCCCCCCCCCCCCCACCCCCGCCCCCCACTGAGCGAAATATCGGTCAGCGCGATTTTCACATTTGTGGGGGCAAAAAAAAAAAAAAAAGTTCTCTCAACAACAGAGCTCGGGACTTCTCAGATTCATGTTCAACTTTATCTTCACTCGTAAAAGGACAACATCAATTCAAATATAAACAGTGGCGTACGCATGATTTTTTCAAGGGGGGGGGGGTTAAAATCGGGCCCAAAATTTCGCAACGACTCAGCCAGCCGCTGAATAAGGGGGGGGGGGGGTAAGAAGATACTTATTTTTTGGTTTCGAAATTTGAAAATTTGACATTTTGTTCGGTTGGGGGGGGGGGGGGGTCACCTATTTTAGGTCAGCCATTGGCATAACTTTTTTCTTTCTTTTTTTCCCTTTTTTTAATTAAAAAAAAAGAAAAGAAAAAACTCAAATTGGGGGGGGGGGGGGGTTTCCCCCCCAAATACCCAAAACATACACATAAAAAAATTCAAGGGGGGGGGGTTAACCCCAAACCCCTCCCCCCTCCCCCCCCCCCCTCCTGCGTACGTACGCGCCTGAATATATATATATATATATATATATATATATATATATATAAATACAATGAATTAAAACATACACATAAATACATACTTATACAACATTCATGTACATAAGCGAGAGAGAGAAAGGGGGGATTAAATTTCGAGTGGAGAAGCCATTAGAGACCAACATCTTTTCGAAGGCTAACTCTGTGGGCTGAGAGTACCATTTTATAAACGTTCTCTCTTTTTTATTCTTCAATGATAGGCCTAATTGATTAATATTGTTGGCACAAGTTCGAGACTTTCAATCAATTAGTAATTAGCCAAATGGTCAACACGTGAGTGCATACTTCCTCTAGTGAATAATTGGCAGTGACAATGGACTTTGTCCTCCTGTGCAAGACAGACCAATAAATGCGCGAAGAATCAATTCATGTATCATTGTACCCGAACTGATCGCCTGCTTATAAACAGTTATTGTCACGTCCATGTTCTCTCTATATAGCTAAAGGCACGACATGCAGGGTGTACTCGGCAAACCAAGAATCAACATTGAAGAGGTGGATTTAACCAGGGAATTGTTACAGACTGTTGTAGCTAGGTATTCATTTATCATTTCTGTCTTCAATTTTTAAATTTGAGGCGATTTCGATCTCCATCTACGGTAAGTGAAGGTACATGTAGTATGAATTCGATATAATTGTAGCCTAAAATCAGCCGCTTCTGCTTACGACGTCATCATCATAATCATCAAAATAAAATTAATGAACGATGTTTGATAGAGAATCCAGAATGTGCGTGGAGGATTACCTCCTCTCATTAGTTTGTTCAGTATTATATACACGTCCTTCAAAATCAAAAGGCATGTTTTTGCTAACTATATATACAGTGCGTTCCAGATTATGATTAATAAATAACACTTATTTGTAAAGCTCATATCCACCTTTTTCATTTGATGCAACTCATATGATGCATTTGTCACACATGAGTGATTAAAAACAATTCGAAGAAAGGGTACCAAAAAATCATTTGGTGAACGGTATCTGAATTTCAAAAAGAAAATCACATTTCAAGAAAGTTCATTTTTTGCCCTTTCATATGACACCTCAGTCAGGAAAAAGGAGCCAGGAATAACAAAGTTCCGTTTAAAGTATTGCTCACATTTCCGTTATTTTATAAAAACGAGTCCGTTCCAGCGTCTGCATGCCCTAACTACAAAACCGACGAAAGACTCCATGCAGACTTCACGATCAGCCATGCTTGAAGTCTTTTGTCAACTATGTTTGTTGCTACGGCAGGCAGCCAGTAAAAACGAATCCGTTTAATAAAATTATAGAAATGCAAGCAGTACGTTAAACAAAGAGAACTTTGTTATTCCTGGCTCAATTTTCCAGATCGAGGTGTCATAATGAAAGGGGAGGAAATGAACCTTTTAGAATTGTGATTTTCTTTTTGAAATTCAGATACTGCTCGCCAAATGGGTTTTTGGTACCCTCTCTTCAAATTGTTTTGAATCACTAATGCATGAAATATGCATCATATCAGTTGCATTGACTGAAAGAAGAGGTTCTAAGCTTTACAAATATGTGTCATTTATTAATTATAATTGCGATTAAGTTATAATATAACATCGATAATTCTCGGGTTCGTCTTTTCTGGGACACACTGTAAGGAACATCCATTCACTGCTATTATGTAAAAATGTTTAGAACAGGTGTCATATGCATATTCACCTGTTCTACACATTTTTACATAATAGCAGTGAAGGGATATTCCTTTGTCTACCTGAGGAACTGTATATTTTGTCCTCTTTCTTTGTTCGTCATATTCATAGTGATAATTCGCAACGAAGTACTTTACAAAGACGTATGAATTAAATTTGATTACAATGTGAAAATGGTCACTTAAAAGGTTGCTATTAAAATCTTGGTTTTATCCAATTTTGAGCACACAGAGCTCCATAATATAAGAGGTGATTAGACAGACCACGTACTCGACATCATGGAATACGGTATCGTCCTCCCAATCATTCTCATCCTCGTCTCCGTGGTCGTGACATTCCTCCTCGCCAAGGCCATCCGTATCTTCGTCCTCATCAGCAGGTTCGATGGACCACCGGCACTACCTCTTGTAGGCAATGCCCACGAATTCAAGAGCGATCAAAGGGGTAAGATTGTGATCTTCATGCTGTCTGAACGCTATTGAAAAAGGAGTATGTTTAATTTGTTTTGCCTACACATTACCGACCACATTTCAATTTTCAGTATTTCTGATCGCTGTTTATAAAGCTGATATCCCTATACTACCACTACTAATACTACTACTACTGATATTACTACGTACTACTTCTCCTGCTACTACTGCTACTACCACCACCACCACCACCACCACCACCTCCACCACTACTGGGACATTCTCTCTATGATATCCTTCTAACCTAACACCTGCAATATATACTCACATCGTGAAACACGCTTTACAATGATTTCAATATTGAGAAATGTCTCTCTTTGCATTTCTTTAAGAATCATTTTCTCTGGATTGTTCGTGGTGATTTATTAACCAGTCCATCAGTTTACATTCAGTCAATCAATCACCCAGCCTGTACTGCTGCTTCTCATCTTTTCTTCTCCAACTTGCCAGAATTCTTCGTTGACATGACAACTCTCATGGAGGAGTACAGGGCGAGGAGTGGAGGGCTTATTAGGATGTGGCTTGGACCGGTCCCATCACTCGTCCTCTACAAAGCCAAACATGTTGAGGTGAATTTTAGGTTGTTCGAAAACTGGGAGCAACTTTAGAATACCCCACCAAAAAATTGACCAGACGTTCGTAGGGTACCTAACGCTTCACTAACGAAGCTAAATTTCAAGACTGAAGTTTCTTAAGTGACACCAAACCTAATCCTAACCCGAATCCTAAACCTAACCCTAGATCACCGAAGTTTATGTACATTTAACCCTATTGATGGGGTATTCTAAAGTTAAGCCGAAAACTGCTCCCGAGACAATATATACCAGGACAGCGTTTCACGAAACAAGTTCGTCGACAACCCATTGAAATGCGCGTATTATAATTTACTCGTGTTTTAATGGAATGTCGGTGAACCTGTACTTGTGACGGTTTCGTGAAACGACGCCCGGTTTACTAACATTTCAAATTTAAACGTCTTGGGATACAACAGTCTCATTGGAAAAATCATGCCTATGTTTACAAGACAACTACCGGTATAAGAAGAATGTGTGGCCTGAGATTTCATTTAAAAATAATTATTTCCACCTCCCTGGAATAACTCACTAGCTCTGGTGGGCCAATCAAGTGGTGCACTGCATCTTAGAGTAACTAAGGCAATACCCCCCCCCCCAACATGTAAATGTTATCTCTCAAACTAGATCCCTCACTTTATTACACACAGGTGATACTGAACAACAGCCGACATATCAAGAAAGGATACCTGTATAAGTTTATAGAACCATGGCTTGGGTTAGGATTGTTAACAAGGTAAGAATTATTTGATTGTCTTTTAACCCCCCCCCCCCCCACCCCCTCTAAATTGCGTATTTCTGTACTGCTACGGTTTTTCATCTACAATGTCTAGTTTATCAGGAACCACTGAGTTTTGGAAACGCCTCCCTCTCAAAAAATGAAATGGAAGCTCTTATTACCAATCATGTGAAAGAATATGTTTTGACTAATACGTGATGATACAAATTTGGCCGGGAAACCGCCTATACTAATTGATATATTTGGTAAATTATTATATCTATCTGGACCGGATAGATATCGCGCACGTGTCGCGTAGTCCCATATACATCTTTCTGTGTACAGTGCTCGTAGCTTTAGCAAGACTGGGCCAAATTTCTTATCATTTTGATGATTCGAGAACCTTGCAGTACACACCAATACTTATATGCTAGATGATCAACCTTTTCTGATCGATTCCACAAGGTTTCTTTCACAATGAAATCGCATGACCAGAACTAGTCTTTATCTTTAAAGTAAGTATGTAAATATTTAATTAATTACTGGGAGAAAAAGTACAAGATAATCTCAAAGATGGTTTCTGATGCTTCACCCATATAGGTAGACACACTTTAGTGGGCACATAATCATTATGTAAATATTTCAATTTTATGTTGATTAAGTGATTAAACACATCAGCTGTATGAGAACCAAATATCTACGTGTTAATCTTCCTAATTACACTTGATCAAATACACTATTCAAACAAGTTCTAACATAATGATTATCACAATGCTCTCGTTGTTACTTCAGCATCATGTTTGCTAATACTGAATCATGCAGACCAAAAAATATATTAAAAGAAAGAGTGGAAATTGGCACGCATTCAATTGATCCAAAAGTATTGTCACTTTGCCCACCATTACAAAAAAAAATCGATAAAGATAATATAGTTACCAATACAAAGTTACCTAGTGTCGTGAACTAATTTAAGTTGAACGCACTTGTTAAAATCAAAGTACAAGATGAACATAGAACTGCGAGAGGAAAATTGGCACAATAAGTAAACAGAGCCTCGTTGACATATCAGAACAGTGTAACCCTTGTGACCATCCTGATAAGAACACAAGATAATAATTTTTTTTATAAATATAGTAAATATATTGGTTTAATGTGCTTGCTAGAATGAGACAAAAACGACGTGGAAGAATATGTGAATACAAAGTAGACTTACGTCCCACTTGTACCTACCCAACATATATGAAGAAGCGTTCATAATAACTGATTGTTTTTTATATCTTCGATAAACACACACCAGATCATAACATTAAATTCATAAATGAGCTAGTTCGCTCATCGAAGAAAACAATTGACAATGTTTTTTTTTTTTGGGGGGGGGAACCAATTTTTTTTTTTTTTTTTTTTTTTTTTTTTGCGAATTCTAAAGCACAACTTAAGTTCTACCACTGAGCCTTGGCGCCACCTCGAATCACCATGAAGACTATATATAACTATCATGACCAATCTTTCTGCAGCTGGGGTCAGAAATGGTTTCATCGACGGAAGATGCTCACTCCGACCTTCCATTTCTCCATCCTGCAAAGTTTCATGGATGTTTTCAACGAGCAGAGCATGATCTTGGTCAAGAAACTCGAAAAGTTTGCAGAGAAATCTGAGACGGTCAACATTTTCCCGCTCGTCGCCTATTGCGTACTGGATATCATATGCAGTGAGTAAGGAAATGTCTTTGGCACACAATAAAAGGGGTCTCGAGGTTTTGTGCACCATAGGTTCTACGAATTGTTAGGTTTGGGGTTCGATTTCCTAATGGTAAATGAATCTAAATATATGGCAGCTGAATTACATTACCTTGTTGAAGGAGACGAAACAAGCAATAACCAAACGAAAATCATTATTATGTATATCGTATTATCAAGAACAGAAAATATCAATGTTTTATATCTTAAGTGTTCTTGTAAAACTATGTCTGATCGGTTTTTATCTATTTCATTTTGTTTACTTCATTTCCATTTCCAAACATAAAATACAACAAAATATATAAACATGTTGTCAAGTTCAGGGCATGGTTAATAATCACGAACAAATGAATAAACTTACAATTAATAAAATTACAGCGTGACTTGGATCATGAATAACTAACAATTACGTAAAGTTTCCCATAATGTACCAAAATTGTATAATGCGATTTTTCCCGTCAATTCTTAAACAACTGAACAAAACAAGGCAGAGGCTGATATGGAAGCCACAGGCTTGAAAATTAAAGGCCCCTGGGCGAAACAAATATCCATGTACAAATTATATTGGACGACCAAATGAAATAAAATGAAATTGCGACTCCAAGTCGTCATAACATATAATTCTCCTGTCACATATTAATGTTCAAAGAGAAAGAGAGAATATTTGGTTTATCATAATCATACTCTATATAATTTTACCCACAGTTACCGCGATGGGACGTTCTTCCAACGCACAAGAAAATAGTGAAAATGAATATGTGAAAGCTGTTGGAAGGTAAACAAAAAATACCACCAGATGACATGCCACATCTGGTAGTTAAACCATTCGTTCTCTCGTCTCTTCCTTCGACTTATCTATGGTATTGATATCAATTTACCATTGTTTACCCTTTAATTACCTTTTTAATACCATTTATTGAAAATAATGATAAAATATAAATTAATAATCATCGTAGAAGTACATGTAGTAGTAGTAGTAGCAGCAGTATTATCAGTAGTTAATAGTAGGAATAGTAATATAAGTAATGTTCTTTGCCATGTTTACAATTATACTCGCTGTGGATAATCTTCATACATAACTTCACAGAATGAGTGAATTGGTGACGATACGAGGAAAGAATCCCTTGCTCTGGCCCGACTTCATCTTTGACAAATTAAAATCCGGTAAAGAACATAAAGAAACCCTGAAAATCCTTCATGGTGTAACCAACAAAGTAAGTTTATTTTATCACTACCATGACAATCAATATTGTTAACGTTTTAATGAATTTTCAGTAAGATTTCGTGTTGGGGTCGGAGAGAGCAAATGTGAAATATTGCTACAACTAGCTTTGTAAATGGGTGTCGAGCCGGGACAATTATTGTTCCCACAGCAATTTGCACATTTTGTGGGTTTGTGGTAATAGTCCAGGCATTTCGTGAAAAAAAAGGGGTCAACCTCCCACTAATTGCAACAGAAAGTCTGTCGACTGTTTTATACCCAGAAATATGTCCTCTATAACATATCAAAAGTCTTAAAGAATCCTGGTGGGGGAAAGTTCCGTGGCGGCCATTTTACAAAATGGCCGCCATGTATAACTACTGTTGTACATTTCTGGGGATTACTTTTTAACAGCACCTCATTTTACCATGCATAAGGTGTCATATGAAAGACAATTACATTTCCTACAAGATGATACCTCATTCAATAGGTTTCGGGATGATTTGATTACCAATTTTGAGCCAAAAGTGTGATTTTTTACCATTTTTTCCAAAAATGTGAATTGTGCCAAAATACATATTTCTCTATATTTATTTGATTATTATACTAACCGACTTGAAACTTGCTGAAAAACTGTTCAGCATCCTGGTTGATATCATATCCAAATTTCAAGTCTATTACTCTTCAAACTAAAAAGTTATAGCGCTCTAAAGTTGAAACTTTGTTATGAGCTAAAATGGCAAATTTGGTTGCTAAGGGCTATCTTCTCCTTAGCAACGGTAACATATTGGCGTGAGAAATAGAATATATCACGAGAAACTGCTATCACCAAGCAGATGACTACTTTTATAGGAAGTATGATGTCCAATGATGCATTTTTATCCTATTTTAATGATAAATATGGCTTAGTTCCCGTTGCTATGGTAATAATATGCCTAGCAACCGATATAAAACACATATTTTTGTTGTAAATCTAATGTTTCCCATATCTCTGCTTCTAAATAACATAGAGTTTTGATTTTAAGTGATAAACATACATTTTCAGGGACAAAGAATCAAATTAATTAAATTTTAATGAGCTAAACCTAGCCAAAAAGCCGAAACGGCAGCCATTTTCCAAAATGGCCGCCATAAACCTGATATTTCGCAATATCTCTGCTTCTAAATGACTTAGGGCTTTGTTTTTCAGTGCTAAATATACATTTTCTGGGCCCAGGAATCCTTTGAAGCGCTATATAAGAACGAGCTATTATTATTATTATTATTATTATTTCAATGAGCTTAACCTGACAAAAAAAGCTAAAATGGCAGCCATTTTCCCAAATGGCTGCCATAAACCTGATAATTCCCACTATTTTTGCTTCTAAAGGCTTAGAATTTTAGTGCAAAACGTACATTTTCTTGGGCTAGGAATCCAATGACACACATTTCAATAAGCTAAACCTGACCAAAAAGCATTATTCTGAGGATGTGTCAACTATATATCATGGCATGCCGCATGCCTTATGGACAACGTACATGTATAGGTCATAATTATTATAATACTGCATGTAGTTACCATAGCCTCAGACTACCATCTTCGATCCATCAATCTTCCTCAAAAAGTCTATTCATTGTCATCACTGTCACATGCAACTTGGGTTGAGTTCGTGCATTCTGACCCTCTACAGTTGCTACATGCAGCTGAGCTCTCTATGCTCTGCTTCTTGCAGGTGCACTTCAGACTGCTGCAGTCTGTCTGGCAGTTACAGCGGATCATCTTGAGGAGCTGTTCTGGAGCTGGTGGCAAGTCGGTCTGTACGCGCATGACTCCTCCATTCCGCCAACCCCAGTCATCTGGTCGTAGCTCATCAGCTGCAATGCCCTTCCACTGCCGGACCTGGTAGTAGACACGAAGGCTGTGGTGTTTCGCTGCTGCTGATGTGGGCGGTAGACTTTGGGGTTGCACATGAGAAATGCTGGAAGCGACCTTCTAGCAGAACCGCTTATGTCGCGCCACGTTGAGTGACTCTGCAGGCTTCCCATTGTACAGGCATGCCAAGGCTTTCTCTCCTGCTTCCATCTACAACATCATCGGTGGACGCTGTCGGTCTGTCAAACACAATTGCTTGTTAACGGAAGTGCGCACAGGTTTTGAATTTGTGAAGGGAAGCTCCCTTGTCAAAGCCATGCACGCGGGAAGTAGTATCACATGCATCCCAGGAGAGCGTGCATGACAAAAATGTGCTGTGATACATCGGGGCCTAACTGCTGTTTGACAGACTTCATGTTCCAGACACGCGGTTTCTTCACATTCTTCTTTGGCTCGGGTTGGAAGAACTGGTCACATGACTCGAGGTTGGTGTGGTAGATGAGCAGGATGAGTAGATCTGTGTCATCTCCGATCAGCACAGTATCAGTGGTGGCTGCAGACTCCACTGCTTTCTGCACTATGAGGAGATCAGCATCACCTGCAGCATGATGTGTCTGGCAGTTTTTTGCCCATAGTTTGGTGCTGAGCATGTTGATGAAGTGCTGCTTATTTGTCTTGTTCTTCATTGTAGCCTGCATATCTTCATCAGGCGCGTAGCCAGGGGGGGCGGTGGGGGCGGTCGCCCCCCCCCCAAAACGCCGGCCAAAAAAAAAAAGAGAGAGAAAGAGAAGAAAAAAAAAAAGAAAGAGGACGTAGGAAGAAAAAGGGAAAAGGAGTCGAGAACGGTATAATGAATCGTCAAAGCTTCCGCGCTTCGCGCGGGAAGGGGGAAACTGAGTTCAAATTAAGAAATATGAGTCGGGAAAGGTACAACGAATCGTCTTCTTTCTCTAATAATTTAATGAAACGTCAAAGCTTCGCGCGAGAGGGGGGGGGGGGAACAGAATTCAGACAAGGATTAAGAGTCGAGAAAGGTACAACGAATCATCTTCTTTCTCTAATAATTTAATGAAACGTCAAAGCTTCGCGTGAGAGAGGGGAGGGACTGAACACAGATAAGGATTAAGAGTCGAGAGAGGTACAAACGATCGAATCGTCTTCTTTTTCTAATAATTTAATGAAACGTCAAAGCTTCGCGCGAGAGAGGGGAGGGACTGAATTCAGACAAGGATTATGAGTCGAGAAAGGTACAACGAATCGTCTTCTTTCAAAGTTTCCGCGCTTCGCGCGGGAGGGGGGAAACTCCCCCTCCCTGCACCCACCCCCCTAGGGAGCGCGCTTTGCGCGTTCTTTAAGTGATTCGCACGCTTTGCGTGCTCACTACCGCCCCCCCTAAAATGAAATCCTGGCTACGCGCTTGATCTTCATCAAATGTCACCGTTGATCCAGCATTCCCTCTTGCACGTTTTTGGTGTGCTGTGCTCTTTGTTGATGTACCATCATATCCATCAAACACGACTGTTGCCTGTCCATACTTCTTTGGGATATACTCTGTGTATTGCGTGCAGATACATTTGTTTGTTGAGCCACGTGCCCATGGAATGCGCTGAACTAGTGCCCCACCATCCAACACGTATTGGACTTGGCCTGTGATTCCTGGTGCATCCTTTGTCAGAAGTGTCCAGATAGCATCTGCTAGCACTGGCTTCTGTGGTTGTCGGAGCAGCAGTGTGGAATCAAACAGATCTGGTGGGTAACTGCACAGCTCATATTTGAACACAGACTCTAGAGCCTCTGTAGCTTTTGCAACAATTGTCAGTCGCTGGAAAAGCAGCTGGGGATCGACTTGTATACTGCCTCATCATAAATCTTTACTGCCGATTTCAAAGCCAAGGTGATGGCCTGATCATTCCTCTTGAATGTGTAGTCAGCAGCAATTTGTCCATCCATGTTGGTCAGGATTGCTGTTCCAACAGTTTTTGCTGAATCCACATTGACTTTGCTGGTTGCATGTACCCCTGTCGAAATGCTGCGCAAGCCCGGATCTGAGCTGAAGGGTGTTCTCTCTTTCAGACAGCTGATAACTGCATGTGTGTCTTTTATGTCACTTCCTTGTCTAGCATTTGTCATGTCCTTGTTTTGTTTACCAGTGTAATAGTTGACACCTGTGAGCTGTTGCATAGCATTGTTGACTTCAGCACAGGCAGGCATGGAGAGCAGCCATATGAGACGCTGTTGCTCTGTCATGCCTCGCCCTCTCGTCAGGCCACCGCTGGTCTTCATACTCCTCATTAGGACCTGTTCGATGGTGAGATCTACGGACAGACCAGCCCATAGGCGATCACTTCTTCTGACAACATTGAACCCTTCTTCGAATCGTTGGTACACATCTGGATGTTCATCCTTGAGCTTGCTCATTTGCTGCACATAGAGGCGGATTGATTTGGTGTAGAGGTTGAGCCCAGAGGCTGCCAGGTAGGGCAACATTTCTGACACAGCTTCAAGGTGCAGCGCCCAGTTTCCAATACGCTCTGCTCTAATAAACTTCCGTAGTATGTCAACCATCTCCATGTACTGTAGCCAAAGTGTGGCGGTCCTAGAGGACTTCAAGGATTCGGTTTGGGCCTGGAAGAGCTTCTTGATTCTGGTTAAAACATCAGCTTGGCAGAACTCCTCTGCAAACACAGAACCTTCCATCAGATTCTTGTAGAGGGCAGCACTTTCATCAAGATCAGTGTTTCCAGTACCGTTTGTCGTAGGCTCATCATCTGGTGACACTGTTGCCTCATTGGTCTCCTCCACTTCATGTGGATCTGCAGATGGTTTAGGGAGTGGCACACCAAGTGCGTTTGACAAAATTAAGGCGTGCTGCATCAACAAGTAGATGTCCTCGTATTGATCGTGCAATAGCCTTGCTTGACATCCTGTGTACCACCGCGTTATCTGCATACATGTAGATTGCTTCCCAAGAAACTCATTTCTGTGTGAAAGCCTCCCAGGCGCAAAAGCATGTCATTCAAAACACTTCCTATGAGCTCAGTCTCGATGATCATGAGGGCTAGCCACCATAGTGGTTGGTCAATGCTCACACACAAACTTCAGTGTGGAATAGATGCAAGTGACATCGCTGGGATTCATGTTGATCATTGGGAGAAACATCACCGATGATTTCCCGGGGTGGTCACCATGATGCACAAGCTGCATCAGTCCAGACCATGCCGGTCTTGGTGAGGTGAACATAACAGATGTCTTCCACAGGAGATCAAGTTCTGCTGTTGGGTCCTTTTGCCTTCATGTTGACCACCTTCTGGTATGCCAGTGTTGTCGTACCGCTGCTCTCTTCTTTGTGGTAATGGATAGCAACTCGTCCCACCGTGGAGATATCGCTGGAGGTGACCTGCGCCCTGAGGGTAGGTCTGCTGGTCTTGGTGGCTGGGGTTATGGCAGCAATCATCCCCATGCCATGGAATGTGTTGTTACCATCAAGGGTACGGATGTTGTGGTCTACATTGTCTGCAGCATACTGGACAAACTCCGAACTGAAATCAGGTATGTCTGTTCCATGAGACATCACAGCATAATGCTGTGATGTCTCATGGAACAGACATACCTGACATCACAGCATTGTCTGCAGCATACTGGACAAACTCCGAACTGAAATCAGGTATGTCTCATGGAACAGACATACCTGATTTCAGTTCGGAGTTTGTCCAGTATGCTGCAGACAATGTAGACCACAACATCCGTACCCTTGATGGTAACAACACATTCCATGGCATGGGGATGATTGCTGCAGACACTGCAGACCTGGTGGTACACTGCATCTGCAGCATGAAGGTCATGCACATGGAGGACACGGGCTTTGACTGTTCCTGCCCAGGCATCCTTCCTTTCGTCACAGGATTCCAAGATATTTTCCTTGAATAATTATGACCTATACATGTTCGTTGTCCATCAGGCATACGGCATGCCATGGTATATAGTTGACACATCCTCAGAATAATGCTTTTTGATCAGGTTTAGCTCATTGAAATGTGTTTCAAAGGATTCCTGGGCCCAGAAAATGTATATTTAGCACTGAAAATCAAAGCCCTAAGTCATTTAGAAGCGGAGATATTGCGAAATATCAGGTTTATGGCGGCCATTTTGGAAAATGGCTGCCGTTTCGGCTTTTTGGCTAGGTTTAGCTCATCAAAATTTAATTAATTTGATTCCGTGTCCCTGGAAATGTATGTTTATCACTTAAAATCAAAACTCTATGTTATTTAGAAGCAGAGATATGGGAAATATTAGATTTACAACAAAAATATGTGTTTGATATCGGTTGCTAGGCATATTATTACCATAGCAACGGGAACTAAGCCATATTTATCATTAAAATAGGATGAAAATGCATCGTTGGACATCATACTTCCTATAAAAGTAGTCATCTGCTTGGTGATAGCAATTTCTTGTGATATATTCTATTTCTCACGCCAATATGTTACCGTTGCTAAGGAGAAGATAGCCCTTAGCAACCTAATTTGCCATTTTAGCTCATAACAAATTTTCAACTTTAGAGGGCTATAACTTTTTAGTTTGAAGAGTAATAGACTTGAAATTTGGATATGATATCAACCAGGATACTGAACAGTTTTTCAGCAAGTTTCAAGTTGGTTAGCATAATAATCAAATAAATATGGAGAAATATGTATTTTGGCGCAATTCACATTTTTGGAAAAAATGGTAAAAAATCACACTTTTGGCTTAAAATTGATAAGTAAATCATCTCAAAACCTATTGAATGAGGTATCATCTTGTAGGAAATGTAATTGTCTTTCATATGACACCTTATGCATGGTAAAATGAGGTGCTGTTAAAAAGTAATCCCCAGAAATGTACAACAGTAGTTATACATGGCGGCCATTTTGAAAAAATGGCCGCCATGGCACTTTCCCCCACCCGGATTCCTTAAGACTTTTGGTATGTTATAATGGACACCTTCAAGAGCACAAAACAGTTGAGACATTTTCTGTTGCAATTAGTGGGAGGTCATATCAAATTATGCCTGGACTATAATAACAATAACATGGTAAAATATATTTAAGTTTCACGTAATGAGCCATGATAATTGTTGTTATTGATATTGTTATGGATATTAGTATTGTTATCATTATTATTATAATTATTATCATTATTATTGATAGTAGTACTGTGGTAGTAGTAGTGGTAGTAGTAGTAGTGGTAGTAGTAGTAGCAGTAGTAGTAGTAGTACTAGGAGTATTATTATTATTATTAGTAGTAGTAGTAGTAGTAATAGTAGTGGTAGTAGTAGTAGTGGTAGTAGTAGTAGCAGTAGTAGTAGTAGTACTAGGAGTATTATTATTATTATTAGTAGTAGTAGTAGTAGTAATAGTAGTAGTAGTAGTAGTAGTAGTAGTAATAGTAGTAGTAGTAGTAATAGTAGTAGTAGTAGGAATAGTAGTATTAATAATAATGTTAATATTGTTATGTATTATTTTTCCCTTTATTATCAATAACCTTATCGTCATAAAACTATTATTATTATCATCACCAAATTATTATTTATTACCATGACTTATCATATAGATGATACAGGAAAGACTGAAGGAGTCTCCAAAAGACACTAACACGGATGATGATGATGTTGATGTTGTTGCTAGGACACGTAAGAGAATCGCATTCCTAGATCTTCTTCTTCAGATGCACCGAGAAGATGCAAGCTTCACCCTGGGTGATATCCGCGAAGAAGTAGACACGTTCATGTTTGAAGTAAGAAGGATGAAATTCATTTTGGTTCGAACTTTGTAGTTATTCCTTCTTTTTCAGGGAAGGCTGGCCTTGGTATAGACGGTAGTAATACAGATACCTTGCATGTTCAAGAAATGATAGTCACTGTAACGCGCGATGAGTCAACGGCATGCTAACGATCCGACTACGACCCAAATCTCTTCTACGACTGGGAGCCCAATGGATCGCAGTCAAGGCTTATAGCACCTTGGACTCTCCCATAAAGAACTTAGTGTAATCGTAGTCTGATCATTTCCCTGTGCGGTGGGCAGTCATCTATATTCTTCATGTCATGTCATAATCATATAGCTCATGATCAAATGGGACATGGGCAGCTCTAAAGGAATTATAATTCTGTCTATATATGTACATGGACTATTACTATTTCTAATCAGTAGCATTTCTTTACCGATTTTTACACAATGGTACAATCGTATTACCATTAAGGGTAGCTGATAATGTTATGTAGGTAGCCTGTATATGGCTTAATGGGTGCCTATAACAATTAAAACAGTTCACATTTCAAGATAACATCTCTATTTAAAACACAAAATTGATCTGATGTTGCTGGATTTTTTTTTTTACCCCCCCCCCCCCTCATTTTACAGGGTCACGACACCACGGCTGCTGCGGCAGGCTGGGCAATCCTCCTCATCGGCCATCACCCGGATGTACAGGCACGACTACATATGGAAATAGACGAGGTCTTTGGTATGTCTAATAAAACAAAGATTATTGAGGCTGGACGGATCCAGGGGGCAATGGGACATGCCCCCTCGGCAAAACTGTGCCCCCCCCCCCCGCTCCTCCCGAAAAAGGAGGACAAACCACTCGAAACAGATAGCCTAGTCAGAAATTTATCCTAGAAATAAAAGGCTTACCCCTAAAATGCGCCAATTTTTTTTTTTTTTTTTTGGTATAAAAGTAATTTTTTAAAATTTTAAATATTGTTTATCTTATTAAACTAGGCCTATTTTAAATCGGGATGACAATCTGTTTTGCATCTTGGTCCTGAATTGTTTGTTTGCTTACTTGTCAGAGAGATGTGGAGTAATACGTTAACATCAACGTTTTAAAGGCGATTTCGGCCCATGCATTACAATTGGCTAATTCCTGAAAAGTTTTACTTTAATTTTTCTTTTAATACATGTTTAACATAATCTTACTCTTTTACTTTCCATACAGGTGACTCCATGCGGCCCGTGACGTCAGATGACCTGTCTAGGCTCCAGTATCTCACATGCGTCGTCAAAGAAACACTTCGCCTCATCCCTTCGGTCCCCAGTATCTTTAGAAAACTCGATGAGGATATAATGTTAGGTAATTTCATCTATCGATAAGTTTTACAGTGTTCCGTCTATCACTTTTTTGTATTATCATTTTAATTTGCTCCCTTCTTTTTCCCCATTCTTCATGTCCGTTTCCGACGCTGATTTTTGCGGAGTTGAATCATCAGGTGGTTCGATAATCGGTGGATAAAATTCAGGAAGTAATTGGGGGACGATGGGAAAGCACCTGGACTGTTGGAGGTATTGGACCCATGTAGCCCCCGATCCCCACCACCCATCCGTACCTTAGATCTACGCAAGTTGTTTCACCCGTTCCGAACATACGGCGCCATACAATGCAAAACGTCATCTGCTGGTCAATGATACAACTTCCCAATGCCTGAAGCTCCTATCTACAGCTAGGCTTGTACAGCATTACCATGTTTACGTACCAACCTGAAAGTATTTTTGTTACGTTTTATCTGTTTCTACCTCTCTATCAAATAAATTATCAGATGGCAAGGTGGTTCCTAAAGAGACCCTGGTGGCCTTAAGCATCTACGGCCTTCACCAAGACCCGGACGAATTCCCTAATCCTGAACGGTTTGACCCGGATCGGTTCCTTCCCGTGAATGCCGAAGAAAGACATCCGTACGCCTATGTGCCGTTTTCAGCTGGGCCAAGAAACTGCATTGGTAAGACAAACCCCAGCAAGGGTTTAGTAATGTCTTCCTTTTTATTTTTCTTCTCGTTTGGGGTGGGGGGGGGGAACTGGTAATACATGGATGAAAGTTAGGGGAGTGGAGCGACCGATAACAAGGGCAAGCGAGAATGCATGCCCTTAGCAGAATAGGGAATCGATCTACTTTCTGCGTTTATGTTTTTATAATATCTTCAGATTTTAAAATGCAAGAGAAAAAAAAACAGAAGCACGCAGTTGTTTATTTTTGTTTGTATTTATTTTATAAAATCAACAATAATGGGAAAATTCATCTTCCTATCCCCTATCTTTATAGCGACGTCCCCTGCACAATTATCACAGACTGGCTCACGAAAGGGAGGGGGGAGGGTAGAACACATCGCAAAGACTTCAATAACAATGAGCCTAGGTCAATTAAAACAGTCTTGTGCGTCACCTATTGAATAGGTTTGAATTGGCTCCATAGGTTGATTTCTCGAACGCATTTGTGATCGTGTTACTAGTAAATAGACAGACAGACGGATAGATAAATACATGCAGATATAATGGTTTTACCGTGACTCCTTTGTAACAGTTTGTACCATTTGACCTCTACCTTCAACATTAACACAGGTCAGAAATTTGCCATGATGGAGGACAAAATAATCCTAGCCAGCATTCTCCGAAGATTCTCCATCAAATCGATCCAGACCATAGACGAAGCCAAACCTGCAGGGCAGCTCATCCTAAGACCCGCAGAAGGCAACATGCTTGTCAACTTAAGCCGGAGAAAATAGCCTGCCAAGGACAAGACAACAAAGCCAACCCAGCGCGTAGAAGTAGTAGTAGTAGTAGTAGTAGTAGTAGTAGTAGTAGTAGTAGTAGTACATGTAGTAGGATCAAATCATCATTATAATTAATTAATGACACATAATATTTGGAAAGCTTAGATCCTCCTCTTTCATTTGATGCAACTCATGTGATACGAATTCGTTTTCACTGGCTCCCTGCCGTAGCAACAAGCAGAATTGACAACAGACTTTACTCCGTTTCGTAGACAATCAGCCATGCATGAAGTCTTTCGTCTAAGGCTGATTGTCAACGAAACGGAGTTTAATAAGTATTTTGTTAATTCCGTTTGCTGCTACAGCAGACAGCCAGCGAAAACGAATTCGTTTGATAAAATTATGGAAATGCAAGCACTACTTTAAACAAACAGAACTTTTTTATTCCTAGCTCATTTTTCCTGACTGAGGTGTCATATGAGGGCAGAAACTCAACTTTCTAGAAATGTGATTTTCTTTTTGAAATTCAGATACCGTCCGCCAAATGACTTTTTGTTTTCCTCTCTTCAACTTCATTTTAATCACTCATGCGTGAAATATGGATTATACGAGTTGCATCAAATGAAAGAGGAGGATATAAGCTTTCCAAATATGTGTCACTTATTAATTATAATTGTGATTAAGTTAAGATAAAACATCGATAATTCTCGGTTTCGTTTTTTCTGGGACGCACTGTATAATGATTTGATCCTATTACATGTACTACTGCTACTACTATTAGTACTACTACTAATAATGATAATAATAATAATAATCCTATTACTAATATTGGTGGAAAAAAAACCTCAAAGGAATATAAAAACAACAAGACTGCGATATCTAATAGAATTCTGTAAAATCTTATAAAACTATCCCTTTTCATTTTTCCTGGGCGTCAAAACACAAAAAGTGTGTCTACAAAAATAGAATTACAGTGAATAATTTATGTTTGAACGATATGTTATATATATGTAACCACTACAGTATTTTCTCTTATGGCAATTGAAGAAATATTCAGAGGTACTCATGTTATCGTATTTTATTACAAACGAAAATGCAGTTTGTGCGTTTTTTTAAAGAAAAACGACAGCCATATAACATATAATCTTTTAAAGCATGATATATTTTAAAGAATTATATAGTTTCTTTAATCTTTATACATTGTACTTTGTGAAAAAGATCATGCCCGTTGTTGATTAGACGTGGCGTGTCATGATTATGATAGTAGTTTTTATAATCGTTTTCACTTTTCAGTCAGAGATTGTAGTTGTTTTCTTATACTCGTTACACAATAAGATTGAATTGTGCAAGCAAAATGATAAGTTTTTTTTAAGTACAAAGTGTTTATTATAAGAAAGAGTGAATGCATATAGCTTACACCAAAGTTAATGAATAGGATCTTTTGCTGCCATGTAATGATAACCAATATTTGTTTACTTTAAATTTGGTCACAAGATGAGATGATTTGGTATTAAAAACAAGGATGTATTTATGTTGATTGAAACTACCTTTGTATTATTCTTTTTGCTATACCTTCTTGTAAAGAAAATTGACAATGTGTACAAAACTCGATATGTGAAATATGAAAATAAACTGAACCTTGAATCTTGAACCTTGAGATTTTCTCTTTGCAACTTTGCTGAATATAATCGACCTCTAAAGATTACCCAAGACAAGGTTTTGTGTCTCTACGACTCGGTTGTGGCATTCCTTTCTTCTAAATTTTGCATTTTCGAGAAATCAGAGCTATATCTTTTTCTTACCAAAGGATTTATCCATTATCAATACATGCTTGTGCCATGGCTAATTACTGAATACTTTCATGTTTTCAATGTCAAGTCATTGGCGGATTTGGGAGCACAACCGGCCGGTGCACCCCCCCCCCCCCCCATGGCATACGTACAGTTAACATCCACAAACACACACGCGCACGCGCGCACACACACACACACATACCTACAACCAGCGCAGCTGAATATATTTTGTATAAAAGCTGCGCTATATAAATCTATTATTATTATTACACGCACACTCACACAAATTAAACACGCAAGTAAATTTTATTATAGTGTTTTTTTAATAACTTAAAACAGTAAAGTAGTAATCATTATAAATTTTAACAGAAACACATTGACATAATGAAACTATAATTATTTAGATCTACGGATACTATCCTGCAATATTAAAGTTTGATGGACAAATTATGGGATAAATATGTTAGATATAAATGGATTTATTTTTTCCAATTCCCATCTATTGCGCCTATTGAAACAGATTTCTTTGTAAAAGAAATGTTCTGTCGTCTTCCAGGTATTTTGGCTGAATCTGTCTTTACGGTCACATTGGTTAAACTGTAAGTTCATTCTATATGTTAGTAAAAATGTAAAATGAAAATGGATCTTTCTGTAATGGTAAACTTAATAGCACAAAAGTGTTATTTTACAAGAATTGCAATCGATTACATAATGCAGCGACGGTTCCCCTTGCAGATTTCTCTTAAAGACAGTCTGTACTAGTTATATATACTTGCGCCCTCTATATAACAAGCAATGCCTAATCGGTGACCATTGGTCCCCCATGGTCGTCTTTTTCTTATTTTAATTGAGAGCTGAGTTGATGAGATAAACACCTGTCCAGTGACCATGCAGGGAGGTCTAATCCTCCCTGGCCAAACTAATACAGACGGGCTTTAAAATGCCCAAGGTCAGCCTAAGAGGACTCCAGACTTTAGATATCCATCTCTCCTTTCGGTCTCTTCTCCAACCAGGCGGCGACATTGGGTTCTACCTTCACGCGGTCAAGGAAAGCTTGCATTGGTGGGTTCTTGGTCAATATGTCTGCGTGCTTGGTGGACAACTGCTCGAGGAGGTTGAAGAGCGCTAGATCTGCCAATGTTACCTGATTGGAAGACATTACACGAGAGGACGCAAGTTAAAACGGAGAAGAAATACTGAAGTAGGACTGGATCTACCATCTGATTTTAATTAGATCAGACGGCGCAAATCAGGGGGGCGTTTCACAAAACTTTTCATCAGTGACAAATGACTGTTTTTGTTATATTATCTGTATCTGTATGATTTGGTCAGCAAAATGTCCTTTCCAGACACATCCACGCTAACGTATTTGTAGACAGAGCACGCTGTGTGTGGGTTGACTCTAATCAAATTATTGGGTATGTTTAAGTAAATTGTTCTTAAAAGTGGTTAATGATGGGCTGTTTACTATGGAAGTTGGGAGGTTATTCCAGTCCTTGATGGTTGACACAAAAAAGGAGTCCTGGTAGGCTCTAGCTTTGTGGCGAAGTTGTAGGAACTTCTGGTTGTTCCCCCTGGTTTCCCTGGGATTCAGTTGTACATAGTCATACAAAGGAATGTCGACCAGTCCATTCTTCATTTTGTATAACATGCTGAGTCTCTGGTTTCTCCTTCTAGTTTGAAGCGATTCCCATCCTAGGTCTTTTAGCGCCTTGGTGACTGTGCCTTCTTCTCTACTGTAGTTGCTAGTACAGAATCTGGCTGCTTGTCGTTGGACACGTTCTAGGGACTTGATATTCTGCTTGGTAGAGGGATCCCAAGCTGACGATGCATACTCGAGAAGCGGTCTTACTAACGCCAGGTACGCAGTTGATTTCACCTTCTTGTTGCAACTCCACAAGTTCCTGCGGACTACATTCTGTATTCTCTGGGCTTTCTTGGTAGCTGCCTGAGTATGAGTATTCCAGCTCAATGTATTCGATATGTGAACACCCAGGTATGGATGAGAAGACACACTCTCGAGACTATGGTTACAAAAGTTATACTTGTGATGAGGGGGGTTTCTCTTACCAATGGTCATGGTACAGCACTTGGTTGGGTTGAAGTTCATCAGCCATGTGTCTTGCCAGCTTTCCAGTTGTCTAAGATCTTTCTGCAGTACGCTGGTATCTTGATCAGCTGATACGGCTGTATACAGCAAACAGTCGTCTGCGAACAATCTGGTTGTGCAGGCCATGTTGTTTGGTAGATCGTTAATATACAACAAGAACCATAGTGGGCCGGTCACTGTACCCTGCGGTACGCCAGATGTAACAGATGCAGGTAGAGATGAATGACCATTGATGACAACTCGTTGTGTGCGGCCCATCAGAAAACTTCTCACCCAAGAAGTGATTTCTCCCTCAAGACCATAATATTGTAGTTTAGAGATTAGGCGACGATGAGGGACCTTGTCGAAAGCTTTTGTAAAATCAAGCACTGCCATGTCGACTAACTTATTTCTATCCAGTTCTTGGCTAATATCATTGATTGTGAGAATTAGCTGCGTTTCAGTAGATCTTTTAGCACGAAACCCATGTTGGAAGTCTGATAGGATATGTTGATTTTCTAGGTGTTTCATTACGTGGCTATGTATGATGTGTTCCATGACTTTACTCAGTACTGATGTCAACGAGACAGGTCTGTAGTTTGCAGCACTCTTCCTGCTCCCCTTCTTGAAGATGGCGGCTACGTTGGCGTCTCTCCATTCTTGCGGTACTATTCCAGTGTTGATGGAAGATTGGAACAGGTCTTGCAAAGGTGCAGATAGCTGCTCAGCTCCGATCTTCAGGAACCACGGTGGAATGCCGTCCGGCCCTTGTGCTTTGTTGGTCTTCAGCGTGCTGAGCAGCTTTTCGACCCCTTTCCTAGTAATGTTGAGATGTCCAATCTTCTGGTAAGGGCTGTTGCCAAGGGACTGTGCTAATCCAGGAGGCTCGTTGGTGAAAACGCTCCGGAATTGTTCATTCAAAACGTTTGCCTTGTCTGTGTCGTTGCTTACAGTCTTCTCCCCTTGCTGGAGATCTGCTACTCCCGAGTTTTCTTGTTTCAGTTGCTTAATGTAAGACCAAAACCTTTTTGGCTCTTCTAGAATTGCCGATTCAAGAGTGTCCCTAACATATAAAGAACGGGCTTCTTTAATGAGCTTGTGGGTGCTTTTCCTAAAGGCCTTGAACGATTCCCAGTCATCTGGCTTTCCTGTCCTAACTGCCTTGTTGTATAATCTCTGTTTCTTCTTAATCGTACGACGTAGTGATCTATTGAACCATGGTAAGTTAAATCGACTAGTGGAAAACTTGTGCGGGACATGTTTTTCCATTGTGTGTAGTATTGCACTTCTAATTTGTTCCCATTTGTCCTCTACACTTTTGTCTTGGTTCGTTTGGAAATAAGTATCTGAGAAGTCTTGAAGTGTTTCCTTGATACCCTGAGTATCTGCTTTACCCCTGAGGTAGATTTTCCTTCTTATCGGGCGCTTCCTAGTAGGAGCTACTCTTAAGTCCACTATCACTGAGCTGTGGTCAGCAATGCCATCTGTAACAGATATCTTGTCCACTATTTCAGGGTTATTGGAGAAGATCAAGTCCAAGATGTTTTCTGTGTTTCCCTGAATTCTTGTAGGTTGGGTGACATGCTGATTAAGTCCCAATTCTTCCACTAGAGTGACAAGCTTATCAGCTGCTCTGGTGCTGTATCCACTCCTGCTGGAGACAACATGATCATCCCACGAGATGTTGGGTAGATTAAAATCCCCTGTGAGGATGACATTGTGAGAATTGATCTTATTTCCTAACCTTGTAAAGGATTGCGCCAGGTGGTCGATTGCTTCACCATTGCTGTCATTCGGTGGACGGTAGAAGACTCCCACAAGCAAGGGTCTACACCCCTTTATTTTTGTTTCAGTCCATAATATTTCACAATCAGAGTTAAGTTCACTGCAGTGCGTTGTAATCAAATCCCCCTTCACTGCTTGGAAGACTCCACCTCCAGTCTTTAGCTGTTCACGATCTTTCCTGAAGATAGAGTGGTTGTCTGGGAAGATTTCACTGCTATTAACCTCTGGGTCAAGCCACGATTCTGTTCCACAGAATTAGCTACTGAAATCCTTGCTTCTGATTGGTTATCAGCAGATTTGTCACTGATTTTTGTCATTTGTCATTGAAAAAAGGCTTTGTGAAACAGGCCCCAGAAAGAGGAAGACATACTACCCATAATTATGTCGTTGAGATCCAGAAGGGCGTTTACTTATACGCTTAAACACAGACTTAATGCCCTTCTTGCTCTTAACAGACTGTATATAGAGCTATCGATACCTGTCAATGCCCCTGATGTGTAAGATATCAGAATAAAGAATGCAAGTCAGAAAGGCGGAAGAAATGATTTGTTAATGCAGCGGTAGATGGAGAGGGAAGATATAGAACGAGATGTGGAGTAGGGGTGTTAGACGATTGGGTCAAGTGTGGGTAATATATTTGGTTTTTTTTTCATTCATGTTGTGTCTATGATACCTACCGTATTTCCAACAAGGAATCCTTTGTCGTCACCATTCTTTTCCAACCAGCCAGTAAACACGGACATGTAAGTTTCAGACTTCTTCGCGAACGCTGTCGTCATATCCTCCTAAAAATATAAATGCGTATTTGTCACAGTGAATTTACATACTGTCAATTATACTGCGATACGGAGGTGGGGAGGGACGTAAAGTGACATGATTCTGGTACGAGTATAACCTCGCACAACTATTTGCTACAAAAACTCCCCTAGGACAAGTAACCCAGGACCATTATGCCCTTTGTCAATTACTACTCTCGGAAAACGGCGTCGTAAGATCCCGGCGTATGATATATAATAGGGACTTTTAGATTCTGCACGACGAGAGCGTGGACTGCCCTTTTAAGGCAATGTGACGTCACTGCCAGTGCCTTAAAGGGACGTCACATTGCCTTAAAAGGGCAGTCCACGTTCGCGTCGTGCAGAATCTAAAAGTCCCTAATGATTCTACCCCCTTCCCCGATAGCTACCCTAACTACACATATTATGACGAGTGGAAAACGAATGCAATCAACAACATGTTTTAAGGCTTTTTTATTGCTTGATCTTTGCAATATATTAATTGTCTCTTAATTGTTCCTTCTTCTTTCCTCTGAACTGTAAAATATCAAGATAATCTACCAATAAAAGCCTATAAAAGGACTTATGTTTAATGATGTCGTTTTCATATTGCGTAGTGGCGAGTGGTGCGTAAGCGCCACCTGTCGGCAGTGTTTGGATAATGGTCATAAAACGCTATTTTGTGCTATAGAGAAAAATAGGAAGTTAAGAAAACGTACTGATGAAGGGACAAAATCGCTAACCTCATTGACAAAAAGATCAACGTATTGATAGTAAGAAAATAGAATTTTATTTATAATAGTAGAGGTGTCGTGGTCGAGTGGATACGTCGACGGACTGTCGATCTTATGGTCCGCGGTTCGAGTCCCGCCGCAGCACTAATGTCCTTTGGCAAAACATTGATCTACATTTGCCACACTCAACCCAGGTGATGTAAATGGGTACCTGGCAGGAATTAATTCCTTGAAATGCTAGTGCGCCGCAGTGGCTGCCTTGCTAAAGCCAGGGTAATAATCGGGGCAGCGCCAGGAGCGTCACAACGTGACGGACATGTGCGCTATATAAGAAGCCACCATTAGTATTATTATTATTATAATAGAGAATGTGAGTTTTTTTTATAAATAGTAAAGAACAAGAGTTAAAAATGATAATAGCATAAATCAAACCAAACCTTTCGCTTGGCGTCTTTCTCGAAGATAAGTTCAAACATCTCATTGAGCATGTCAGTGCATAGATCACTCATCATGTCAATCATAGTCATCTCCTTCTCATCGTTACCAGCCAGCCCTGAAGAAAAAGAAATATGAATAAAAGTAAATAAAGCCATGTTGATAATCATTTACTAATATTCACGAATACTTAAATAGACTTGGTAACATTGTTCAGATGAGAGAAAGTGGTGCTAAGGTAGTGACTTCAATGATAGATGTTCAATTAAAGATAATCTGAAAGTTTAAGTGAAAACGGACCATTATTAACGATAACAATTGGGAAAAACTGAGCTGATCGATACCTTAATTCTCCCAACAATATTATTACAATTCAATTACATTTTAGGTTAATGTAAATCCTCACAAAGCAATGGTTTGGCTCTATATACCATTCCAGACATTTAAGTGTTGACAGATTTTTAAAAGCCTGTCTGGGAAAAAAAAATTAAAAATGGGAGAATTCAATTTTAATTACTGTTAGACGGTGTTGCACAGTGACAATTTTTTTGAAAACTATTAATATCTAAGTGGTTTTAGAATATTTTCAAGATTTTGTTTACATGTTAGAGGGTTAGTAGAGTAAAAGAAAGATAATATGTTTCATTTAATACAAAAATTACGCAATCTTTAAATCAACTTTCAACAATGTTACCGTGTCACTTTAACGTATAGGAGATGGATAAAGAAAGGCTAGAAAAAAACTAAAATATGATGAGGAAGAAGAAATCTGAGATTTGAGAATTTGGGTGAAAGATGTTGATGATGAGGAGAGTGGAAATGGTGACGATTGACCATGATGATGATGATGATTGAGATGATGATCATGATTATGATGATGTTGGTGATGATTGTGATGATAATTATAATCATGATATTGTTGATGAGGAGGACAATTAAAATTTATGATATTGTTTATATAGTTAAATGTTGTTGATGATAATGTAATTAATGATGATAATTTCATATGATTTAATGTATTGATTTGTCCAATGCATTTTCTCATGTCTATTTGTTTCGCTCACAAATGTTTCGTACTTTCTGTTCATGACCAAAAAGAAAAATTACACAAAGATACTAGCTGGTTCTATAGGATTAAGCTAAGTTTATGCCATTCCACTGTCAATATACATAATCTATAAAATAACAAGTGTTTAAAATTAGACGAGAAAAGAATAAAAGTGATGACGATGAAGATGATGGTATTTGTGATAATGTTGTGAACAATGATATTGGTTAGTATTCGGATGAAGAGACGAATGAAGACGATGATCATGACATAAATTGGAGGCGGGTGTCACCGATGCTAAAATTAAACATAAAGATACCAAATTCAATGGTGTGCATGTCTTTTTCAAATAATTAGGCTGTTAGGCTTTCTGCTCATTCTTGAGCCTCAACTCTTTCATGATGTCTCTCCAAAACTAGCTTCAGTAACTATGTCTTTCTTCAAAACGTTAAACTATCTTCTGATTTAGTAGTTTGTATAATCATGATATTACTTGTAATGTCAAGTGTATGATAAGTTACTCTTATTTAACATCATTTCATCTTACCAAATTTCCTTGCGAGATGGCGAGCTATGACCATACTTTGCATCATGGTCATCCCATCCAAGTCCATGACTGGACAACAGCCCATTGGGAATCCTGAATATGAAAGAAAAAGTCAAAAAGCGTTTAACGTTTTATAATTTATATTTGTTACCAGTTGTAATGCACAAAATAATGCTCCTGTGACGATTACTCCGCGGTGAAGACACAAACCACCAATGTCTAACTTCCAACCCTGAACCATACTATATCTTATCATAAACCTCAGCCTAAACTTGAGGAATTCATAGTTATAAGCATTTAGGTTAGTCAGGAATCCCATGACTTTTACATGCCGATCGGGCGATCGCCTGTCTGATTATCAAGATATCTATGATCGGAATTCGAAATTTCAAAAATCGTTTTCCCAACGGTTTTTTAATATTACACTTCAGTCTTCTGGGGGGATGGAGTATAGTAAAACCGTTTACTCAAAGACTTTTACTTCGTTGAGGCACTTCATGATCAAGAAGCGAAATTTGTTTAGGGCTTCAATATTAAACTATATCACAGACATTGATAACACATATAGGGCCATGCATCTCAGATTTGTAAAACTGGAAACATTGTTAAACATTGCCTTTAATCTAAGACCGACTTGTAGCCCTAACCCTAACCCTACTATAACTTTGACGAAATAAAGCCTGGAACAATGTTGTCACAGGACCCAATGCCAGATTGGTTGTACGGCAATCGCTCCGGTGATAACGGGTATGATGTTTGATTTAGCGCTATAGATTAGTGTTCGGCAAATTGTCGCCGGTCAACGTTGTGAGGCTATTAATTGGTATTTCATCCCGTACCCGGCGATGTTATTTCTTTTACTTCTACCTCTTCTCATTATGTATGCTTCACAATCCGCCTTCTTCTTCACGTCATATTGACTCCCTAGCCATGACCAGTAAATCCTCATCGCAAACATGATTGATATGCATCATAATATACTTGTGGGTTTCGTGAATGAATCGTGGACCTTTTCTTTCTTTCTTTTTTATTTATTCGCTTTAACGTGTGCTTTCAGATAAGAATGGGTGTGGGATTTAGTGGGTTTAGAAGGTGCGCCATGGAATTCGGTTCGCAAACTGTGAACAAAGTTATCTGCGTTTTGTTGGATTTTCGCAAACAGATATTTGCCCAAAAGATCAAGTATTTAGAAACCATATGTGAATGCACTCATCAGTGTACTTGGCAAGGTAGGTTCACAAACAGACTTTATGTTTAAATAGTACCATTTGTGACACACCCACATCGGGATGGTAATCTTATCAGAAATAGAAAAACGAATTGGTTTGCATTATTGCATCAAAAAGAGGTAAGAAATATAACATTCCAACTTTATGGACAACGGTGAACTAAAAGTTAAAATTAAAGGGTGGTATTCTCGAAAGCGGACTAACTTTAGTCCATGGCTTAATCCACCGACTAAGTATAGAATGCCAAGTGTCCATATGAATATGTTTTTAAACATAATTAATAAACAAAATATAACTATGATATAATTATGTTTTCATGGTTATTTAGGGACATAGCAAATTATTCAAATATATATTCATATGGACACCTGGTATTCCATACTTAGTCGGTGGATTAAACCATGGACTAAAGTTAGCCCGCTTTCGAGAATACCACCCATGAGTATCTATTTCTCTCGGAAGGACCATTTTTTCAGTGATATTATATCTGACACATGATTGGTCAAACCTTTTCTTTGAAGGAAAGTAATGTAAATGTATAAAATACATCGGGGAAAAGAAATCACACAGTTTGAAGCTGAAAGAGATGGGGTCATGTCATCACTTACTTGACCTGTCTGTCTTGCTGCTATCCCACTCGGCAGGCAGAATTCGTACGTCTTCGTACTCGACCTGGGCCTGTGCGAAGACCAGACGAATCACCTCACCTCGTCCGCGGACGTCGAAATAGGTCAGCTTGTACGTCGACATCTGGGGGGGGGGGGGAGATGAGAGAAATTGTTTACAGGTATAGACTAGTTTTGGAAACGCCCCCTACCCCTCTCAAAAAATGAAATGGAAGCTCTCATTACCAATCATGTGAAAAAATATGTTTTGACTAATACGTGGTGATAGAAATTTTTCCATGAAAGCGTCTACTTATTGATATATTTGGTAAATTATCATATCGATCCGACCTGGAAAGATATAGCGAATGCACTTCAAGACTGAAGATTTGGGCATATATTTCTGCTTTTGGGGGGATTTAGGTTGAAGTATTGCCATCTAAACCTCAGAATGCAATATTTAAAAAATATTGAATAAATATTTTGCACCCAAAACCCTTGAACCACAATTCAACCAAAACTGGTCTATACCTTTAATTGTTATAAGAATAATATTATTTGAGAAGCTAACTAGAACAGCTGAAAACAGAAAGCTATGGCGAGCTTGTGTCTTCACATTTTCAAGGTCCATTTCATTGTCACCCCCAATGCCCTCCAAGTTATGATAACTAGAAATCCACTTTAATAAGGGTTGGCCAAGAAAACTTGGTAATATTGGGAAACATAATGTTCACTGCATTTTGGGATAAAAGTTAACCAACTTTTTAAACCCAATGTTGGATAATTGCGATGCCTAGCATACGATAGTTTTTACTATCACTACGACCGTCATGATCTGCAATCTATCATTGTTCATGTGACACATTTAGATCAATCGTGATGCAAGATTCCTAGTACATGTTTTGGGATATAAAAAGATATCAAAAAAAATAAACGTACAACCAAAGAATTATAACGCCTGAATAACTACAGTCCATCAAGTCTGCCACAAACGTGAGGGATCTGGAATAATAAGGACAAAGGGAGTAGGGGGTTGGGTTGATACGAAAACGCGAAACTCTTTTACTATCTCGACATTGATTTTTTTTTCGAGGCAGGGTTGAGTCTTGACAACCATCCTTACCCGCCCCTAATATCGGAGGTCTATCCAAACCCAAGCACTATTGTATGTCCCCTAAACCGGAATCGCGACCCAGTTGGACCCAAAAGAAACTCATATGCATGGCTAATAGTCGTCTTTCATTTTCAAGTGTATCTTAGATCTCTTAAATAAAATCAAAATAAGTTGACAAACATGAGGAAAAATAATTTAATTTTAAATCATATAATAAATTCAATATTCGCAGAATGAATACATCACTTGGATTAAACTAGGCAGGAAACAAACCTCTATGTAAGAACAATCTAACATACTATGCCCACATCATCTTGTCGTCATTACAAAGAGAAATGTATTGTTCAATAGCAATACATAAATATCAAGATGGTTCATTACGTTATAATATCTCACATGTCTAACGTTTGAATTCCGTCATGGGTTAATTCTGAAAAAACAGCAATAATCCATGAACAAAAATACTGCAAGGTGATTTATCATAATTCAGCAATACTTATCATAAAAGTGATGAGACAATGGAATTTAGAAGAAAAAAGTAACGCTGCTTACCTTCGGAAGCTAGAAACCGTGTACCTTTTGAGAGAGGAAAGAGACACCAAAAGGAGGTCTTTGAAGTTTGTTCGATTCGCTGCCTTGATTACGAAGACTTGTCCTTGGATCCTGCGTTTGAAGCCTTTTACGTGGCCGAATTTCAAGTGGTCAAAGGGTCAATCAATAGCTAGTTGATTTCTAGTAAGTCGCGACAGCGGAAGCGGTTTCTGATTGGTCAGTAAAAAAGATAGGGAGCTCCAAATGGTTCCATATAGTAGATGCCTGGGAGGGAACTACACTGTTGCCACTGAAGTTGGAATAAAGTTTTCTTACCTCCTTTCATGAAAGGATTTGGGGAGTATGATTCTTGAAAGGTAACGTGTATATCTTCTCAGGACTTTATTGATCAATCTAAGAGTCATAGAGATTGATCGTTTGGGTTCTGACAAGGTATTAGCTATTTCAAGAATAAACATATTGTCAAAAACATTTCGTCAAAAACATTTCATAAAAAGAGGTTAAAGGTATTACAAAGTTTTGGTATGGGGTCATGAATTTCGTTCAAATTAACATATTGGAAGCATATGCGTTCCTACAATATTCATTGATCGTTGTCCCGGTTGAAATCGAGTCTAAAGTTATGAAATTATAAATATTAAACTCTTTATGTTGTATAGCTCCCTCTCAAGGTTAAGATATTAATTTAGCTATGAAACAACGTTTCTTGACTAAAATCGACCGATTAGCTATTCCCGTTTGGAAATTATATATCACAACTACATATTCTGATATTTTCATGGTCGCAGTTACCATTGTACGACCATAATCACCATTTGAAATTTATCAACATTTACCGGGAGCACCGGTAAATTTTTATATTCAATTTTTCTCGAAAACAAAAGTGTTTTAGGGGTTAATTTTTTTAGAGCTTATAATACATCCACAGGGGCATCCAAATATATCAAAATTGTAAAGATTCACTATCCACCCAATTCTCAAAATTTCCCAAAACTTTGTATTACCTATAACAAAATTAATCCGACTTTATGGGCACCAATGTCCATGAAACAACCTACGATCGCTGACGCGCAAGCGTCTATGTCACAACTATATCTCTAAATGCGCTATGGGCCAAGCTAGCAGTGTACAAATAAGTTATGCAAGAGTTCAAACAACACGGTCTGTTTTGCATAATCGTTATGCATACGAAGAGGGGCGTAGGCCTTCACAATAATGACTCTGTATAAACAGACTTGTTGTAAATTAACGATGATAAGTCTTGAACGCCCACTCTGAATTGCATTAAAAATTAAACACGATCAATTGAACCATTAAAGTCATTTCGAGAATATAATCCTGACTCTAATTTGTACACGGAAACCCTATTTTCTTGGGGATATTTTGGATAAACTATTCAAAATACACATGAATTGCACATTTTTGCTTTAGGGCGAAGCCTTCAGTTTTCATCATATTGATGAAGAATCTATGAAGAAAGAAAAGAAAAACTTGGGCCCCTATTCATAAAACCTTAGTGAGCCTTGTTGTCAGTATGTACTATAGCCTATGTAATTAATTGACAACTATGCCTTAGTAAGGGTTTATGAATATGAGCCCAGGCTCTTAAGGAAAAGCTCAAAATGTGGGTTACTAAACTGTTTGAGACGCCTGTCGAAAAGAGAAAACCCCGTCTCCAATTGCCCGATTTTTTCTTCTTTATTATGTGGAATAGTTTCCTGATCCAAAAGCACTGAAATATTGTCTTATACACATATAAACAACAACAACAACAAAAACACACAAAGCAGGGGGATAGGAAATTACAAAGGTGTATTGACCATGGAGCAATAATTGTCGCCATAATAGCATCGTACAAACTAATCAGTGCTCTTAAAATATACAGGAGGGGGAAATTCGCCTTTTTAGAGTTTATTTTAGGAGTCGCTTCGATACTGAAGGGGAATCAACTATCAAAGGAATATATATTTATAACTTGATCTTATTTAAACATGTGTGGATATGCTAGAGGTAGATAATTATGTATGTCATCCGTGATTTTGTATCTGATTAAAGATTTTATACAAAGAAAAAGAAAACTCTCCAAACTGAGTAATTCTAATTATTCCTTTGGAGGAGTCTCACTATAAACTGAAGACAATTCAACTCCAAATCCGAAGGGATCCCTTATTAAACCAGGATCGCAAAGAGGTCCGAAATATCAACCTGAGGCAATTTCCTAAGGCCCTGTCCATCACCTATTGAAACGAACAAACATTATGTTAATGTATTACGTAACCCGAATATTATTTCAATAGGCTTTTCAATCACTGAATTGTTGGAATGAGCAAACATGACAGTGATGTTTTACTATTACGTAATCCAAAATAATTTCTTTGGGCAATTGCCCGCGAGTAGAACTCCGAAAGCTTTTGCGCTCTTCTTAATATAATGACTCCGTAAAGAGTGGATTCCAAATCTTCTATAATGGGAGAACAGTTAGCATCAATTTCGACATTGGAAATTGTACAATATGGAGTATTTAATCATTAAAACACAGATTAATAACGGATAGAACGATCCCCTGTAGTCTATATGTAGTATACTAGCGGAGAGGGGGTGGTGACAAAACAGCTTGCCTATATGTACAAATAACGCTGAGTAATAGCGCTCCCTCGATGGATCGTAGTGTGCAGACACAGACGTCATTTCGAATCTTAAAAATCCTATCCGACGAAAAAACAACTTGATATTAAATGGAAAACTGAATGAATTAGAATACAAATATAAAGGAATAACAAGTATTTACCCTTTCATTATTGCACAATTACCTATTAATCATCCTTTTCTTTTCCTTTGCCTTTTTTTAATTGTTTGTTGTTGTTTAAATTCTATTATTAATTAATATTATTAATATTTAGTCATCGTCATAATCATCATCGTCTTCTTTTTTCCCTTTTCATTTTCCTTTTTTTTTGGTTCTCGTTTGATTTCTATTATTCAAATTTAGTCATTGTCATCATCATCATCATTATCATCATTTGAATCTGTAGTATGCACTAGCAGTGATACAAAAGGAACGTAAATTTAAATGAAGCTGAATACTTTCTTAATTTACATGATATCAAATGTGCTGAAATAAGCCACTACCTGTATAGAAAGAATTTAAAGCCCCACTGCACTACTCGTAGCTAGTTGCGCCCTCTATATAACAAACAATGCCTAATCGGTGACCATTGGTCCCCCATGATCCTCTTTTTCTTATGTTATCTGAGAGCTGAGTTGATGTGATAACCACCTGTCCAGTGACCTTGCAGGGCAGTCTAATCCCTCTTGTAAACTACGGCAGATAAGCTTTAAAGTCAGCCGGTAACATTGTTGAAGGTTGATAAAAAAAACTGCCTAATTTGTATTCCTTATTTTATTCCTTCTACTGTATTAATCCTCTAACGTGTACAAAATCCTGAACAAATTCTCAAACCACAAAGATATTTATGACTTTCTTTGAAGGCGTCAACACCCTCAAACACTAAATTCTCCCCACCAATTTTCGAATTTTCCCATGAAATAAAATAAGACATACATCAGGCTTTTAAAAATCTGTCAACATTTAAATGTCTAGAATGGTTTATAGAACCAATTTTTTGCTTTTTGACGATTTACATTCACCTAAAATTTAATTAAATTATGATAATATAGTTGGGAGAATTGAGGAATCGATCAGATTATTTTTTCCTCCATTTGTTATCATTAATAAAGATCCAGTTTCACTCAGACATTCAGATTATCTTTAATTGTACATCTAGCATTGAAGTCACTACCTTAGCATCAGTTTCTCTCATCTGAACAATGTTACCAAGTCCCTTTATACAAGTAGGCCCAAATATTACTTAAAATCTGAACCCGACGCCGGCTTTAGGTTTTTGTTCACAATCGGGTTTAACAAAATAGTAGTTAGTTTGAGGTCTAAGTTTGCCTTTGTTAAACGTGACTTTATACCCAAGGTCGGGTTTGATTTGTAGAATATGGACTGTTGAGACTGTATTTATTGGTGGCGACGGTGATTTTTATGAAGAGCACCACCTACGATGAGTACGACAAGAGTTCTTCTGATTTCGTATATCTGAATTAGAATTCTCGATATCACACATTAACTTGTTGATACCAAAAAGGCGATTCCTGATATTTCACAATTTAATTCTTGATATCACAAACTCAAATTGTGGTCTATTTGGCAATTTCAGCTAAATTTCCCGTCATAATATATTTAAAGTGTTTACAGCCTCTTTCTAATTGAGTATACTTGTAAAACTTAAAAATGCATATAAAAACTAAAACCTATACCAATTAAAATCGCGTATTTATCACTTAAGTTGACTTGAATTTAGATTTTGTTTCGATAAACATGAGATGTAAATGAAGCAAATTAATCAAAAGATAAGTGAACATAAACCCATGATAATGCTATGAAGAAAATACATAACACACTCAGACTATAATATTGTGGTATGAAAAATGCTTATGCATCTTTTTAATATATTCACAGTTAAACGTTTCAAGTTTCAAATGAATCAGTCAGTGGTAATCAAAAACAAGGTATATAATATTTCCATCTAATATGTGCCCCGACAACTGGCAAAACGGTAAAAACATAATGCCCCTTAAAATATAATCAGCCCCCAATACATGTGTCTATTCGATTACAAAGGAACTTTAAAGGTAATACAAAGTTTTGGGAAATTTTGAAAATTGGGTGGATAGTGATTCTTTACAATTTTGATATAGTTGGATGCCCTTGTCGATGTATTATAAGCACTAGAAAATTTAGCCCCTAAAACACTTCTGCTTTCGAGAAAAATGGAATATAACAATTTACCGGCGCTCCCGGTAAATTTTGATAATTTCAAATAGCGCATACGGCCGTACAATGGCAGCTGCGACCATGAAAATCTCAGAATATGTAGTTGTGATATATAATTTCCAAACGGGAATAGCTAATCGGTCGATTTTAGTCAAGAAACATTGTTTTATAGCTTTATTAATATCTTGACCTTGAGAGGGAGCTATACAACATAAAGAGTTTAATATTTACAACTTCATAACTTTAAACCCGATTTCAACCGCGACAACGATCACTGAATATTGTAGGATCGCATATGCTTCCAATATGTTCATTTGAACCAAATTCACGACCCAACACCAAATCTTTGTATTACCTTTAAGCCGAATCTCTTGAAGGTTTTCTTTTAATCTTTCCCGAGATTTCACATAAGTTGATGCAGTTTCACAATCCATACAAGTGGATATAATTATGCTGTATTGATTTTGACTGCACGTTTGCTATTAAATATTGCAATCGATATTTTGACCTCTAGGAAGAATAGAACCATTTAATCAATGGCTCGGAATAAAGCTATCCATGCAGTATTCTTTTTAAATAATCATCATTAATCTTTTGATGTTCATATGTATGTTTACATGCTCCTATTCTGAAAATAAAACATAACCAAACCAAAACAAATTTATTCATGTATCACATTATGCCTAATCTTACGTATAACCGGGTGAGAGGAAAGAAGACCTCTTTCGGGGTCGATATGTGGTCCTCGATTTTGCTCTCTATCTAAATAATTACGTAATACATTTCATTAGCAACCTTATCCATATTCAGCAAGCGTTCGTATCAACGATTTATCAAAGATTTAATACTAAGTATATAACAAACAGCAATCTATGAAAACATTGTAGAGCATTATCTAACCCTTAGATTACAGATCATCTTTAATTTACAGCCGTTATGTACACGCAGTTGTACAACTACGTTTGTATCGTCTCGAACAGGTGGTTTATTTTGCAGGAACTAGGGCATCACTACGAAACCGGGTCACATTTACATATTCACTATATACAATATTTGACAAAAATATTAACATAAAATGCAAAAGATGACATGCCACTTTCAACCCGAAGGCAAGTACATTTTTTTCAGATCAAATTGATTGAATTTCATTAGCCTTTTTCGTCATATAATGAAATGTGCGAACATGGCCAACGGGGTATTTTATTTGTCCTTAAGTTGATTTCTTGAGAGTCTTTGCGATTGTGTTTTGTCTTCTTTCGTTACTGTTACTCTCAGCTATTATGAATGGCCACTTGTAGTTCGCGCAGTATGCTATTTGCCTATGTATGAGATGTATGCGTTTTCCATAGATGTAAAAAGGAAAATAGTTACGAGAAACTTCCCCTTTATTGTTGTATTTCCCTCCTTTAGGAGATTCTGTTAGATATGAATACAACTTTTTTTTTCTTCCTCGAGCACTCTCCACCTTCTTTATCTCCATGATTTTCAGACTTTCACATGTGTCGAATATTCTGCTTCCTATTATAAACCCCATGCCCATTTTCGTTTCTGTAGTTGACCACACATGTTGAAAAGCTCTGTAGTAGATCATCATGATCTGCAAGGCTATGAACATGAAAACGAATAAAAAAATGCAGGGAAGATGCACACAAAAAAGTACCGCACTTTGGTCACAATCGAGCCCATTTCTATCTCAAGTTATTAATCAAAGTCCCATTCGTAGGAAATGGCGTTATTATGATTATGTACTAACGTAAATAAACGCCGAGTTCGGAAAAGCCACTGAAAAGAAGCCCCTTGACTCGTCATTGAAGTGTTCTAAAGCAGTTTTTTCATCGAGATAATAAAAGTCTCTCGTTTTATTCTTCATTGGCATTGGTTGGATGTCCCTCGATGAAGTAGTGGTTGGGCCTCCATGTTAGACCAAGAACTCCTTGAAGATCATCTTTAATTCCAGCCGGGAGTTTTAGTTCGAAGTTCTGGACCAGGAAAGTGGTGAAAATAAACATCTCCATGCGAGCAAGCAGTTCCCCAGGGCACTGTCTCTTGCCTAAATGAATAGAAGAATATTGAATATTATTTATTTTTATTCAGGTCAGAAACTATCCTTTTTTCGTTATATTTCAATTACTGTACTGAAGGTTGAATTAACAATGAGAAAAAGCCAATGTGTCAGCTTCTTGGTCAATTTCTGCAAATGAATTTGTTTGATTTACTATAAATCATTGACAAATCCTTTCCGGTGAAATATGTTCAAGTCGTCCTTTTCATTATTCTTCTAGTTTCTCTACTTTGCTAGTCATCTACTTCTAATTGGTTCTCTACTTAAGAATTCTTGTTCTCAAAGTCAATGAGCAAAATTCCTTCGTCGGGAAACTCACCGTAGCCGAAAGGAACTGGTTCCAGGCCCCTCATGAAGTTACCCGCGTCATCAAGAAACCTTTCTGGCCTGAAGACTTCGGGATCCTCCCAGAACATGGGGCTCTTGGCGAAGTGCAGGAGATTGGCTGCTACGGCACTGCCCTTGGGCACGTCGAACCCGCCAATGTTACAGTCCTGAGAGGTCACGTGAGGCAGATGGATGGGGACAGCGGGGATGAATCGCATGCACTCGGCGATGGTCGCCTCCACCAACGGAAGGTACTGACGATCGGCAATGGTCGGGAAACGCTCGTCACCCACCAGGTCATGGATCTCTTGGCGCATGCGCCCCTGGGCTTCGGGGTGCTTTGAGAGGAGGTAGATTGTCCAGCGGAGAGTGGATGCTACGGTCTCCCAGCCGCCCAGGAGAGCGTCAAAGCAGCTAACAATCATGTTTGTATCATCAAACGATTTGAGATTATTCTGTAAAACGAGAATAATGATATTTTTCGTTGATTTTTTAACCAGTTTTATCGAATGACTGTGAAATCAAATGTGAATGGAGGGAGCTTCTTCTTATAAAGGGAATGCGATTTATCATAATGTTACAATACGAAAAGATGTGCTTTCAGATTTGTATCATGATAAAACTATATGCAAGCAACCGCAAACAAATCAATTGTACGATCATTGTCTTAAAGCTCTGTGTTACGGAGTCCAGTCCTGAGTAGTATTACAGGAGGAGGTCTAGGTTTGGAAAGTATAGTTTTTAAAGATTTATGTAAATTAAGATCCGTTGCACACAGGGAGTAACTAGACGAAGCAGGACATCTTCAGATCGAGATGATACGGTGTTTGACACGCCATGTAAGAGAAACATGTCGTACACAAAGTGAATGCAAACTGAACATTTTGAGGAAATATGGCCTTTATTGGCTCACTGACTATACAGACTTGATTATCGCAGGTGTGCAACGGGAATCGCATGTATGGACACCTCTAGTGGTTTATAATACCATAAATTGCAAGGTAATGGTCTTAAGATTGCTCAATTAAATGTTAATAGTCTTCTCAAACATATTGAAGAAGTGAGGACATTTGTAAAATCAAATAACATTCAATTTTTTGCTGTAAATGAAACCAAAATAGATGTCAATGTGTCGTGGTGAATACTTACTGCGTCAGCACTGGCCATCTCCTTCAGATATGAGCCGATGAAATCTTTGACCGGCGCATTCGGGTCAAAGTTCTTCCTGTGTTCATCGATCGACACCTGGATGAAGTCCATGATGGTGCGACAGAGCCGACGGATCTCGAAGTTGACCGGAAGCGGGAGTCGGGCGAAGACGGGGTTGAGGCTGAAAAGTCCGGCGGGACCGCTGATGTCGAAGAGCTTTCCCGAGTAAGCCACTATGTCCTGGAAGGCTTTGTCTTCCCAGTCGTAAGTGACCCCGGTGATAATTCGCGTGATGATGTTGGCGATCGACATGTTGACCATGATGGCTGGGTCAAATTTCTCACCTTGAAAAAAGGGGTATTTATGATACAAATTATGATACAAATTTGGTCTTGTTAAACTTCGGTAGCCACATAAATATTCTTCATGTGGTACTTGCGGGTTTAGTTTTATGACTGATGTCCTTCAATTACCTGAACCCGTATTCGGACACCTACCCCAGGACATCCACCCCCAGATCCGAATAACCATCCCCAGACAACTACCCCTTAGGGCAACCACCCTCTAGGACGACTAACCCCGAGACAACTACCCCCTTGACACCTACCCTCAGACAACTACCCCCAGACAACTACCCCCTAGGACAATTACCCCCAGACAACTACCCCCGGACAACTACCCCCAGACATCTACACCCAGACAACTACCCCCAGACATCTACACCCAGACAACAACCCCCAGACAACTTCCCCTAGGACAACTACCCCCTAAGATAATTCCCCCGGACAACTACCCCCTATGATAATTCCCCCCGAACAACTACCCCAGGACAAATATCCCCTAGGATAGTTGTCCGGGGTTAGTTGTTCTAGAGGATGGTGTCGTAGGGGGTAGTTGTCTGGGAGTAGTTGTCCTAGGGGTAGTTGTCCTAAGGGGTAGTTGTCTGGGGGTAAGTATCCAGGTGGGAATTGTCCCGGGGGTGGTCGTCCTAGAGGGTGGTTGCCCTAAGGGGTAGTTGACTGGGGGCGGTTATCCGGGGGTGGATGTCCAGGGGGTAGGTGTCCTAGAACCGCCTAAACCATTATGTATTCAAATGTGCCGTTATTACAATGACGTATTATAGGTAATCCCATCATATGATTTCTACGGGATATTGGAAATAGTGGAATTCAGATTGCCATTGAGTTAAGTTCTCGAAAATCTTTGCCATCGTGCTCAGATCTATGTAATCATAATAATAATAATGATAATAATAGTAATAATAACAATATATGAGATTTGTAAGGCTCGAAATACGCTTGAAATCATATGCTCAAGGTGTACTTGTACTTGTACACCAAAAGAATTGGGTTTAGGAAAAACAAGAAATCCGGTGTTTTGAAATCGTGAATTAAGATTTAGACGGAATGTCATGCTTTATCTAAGTAATATTTTACAGTGGAGCAGAGCCATGAAATAAAAGCCAATGAGTTTTAAATACAATGCGTTCAATCATGGGCAGCCAATGGCGGTCTGATAATTGGTGTGACTGTGATTGTCAGAGAGAATCTCTGTATACGAGCAGTAACATTCTGTAATTGTGGTATTCGTACCAGCTGATTTTTAGGTAAGTCTAACAAAACTTTTTTCTCCAAAATCAGGACGAGATTAAGTTAAAGCATGGGTAATCTTCTCTGGCACTGCGAGCTGGGTATTCACGTATGAATCCTAAGTTGCGGAACTGATATCGGACATTATTTAAAGACGTATTGATTTTGTGCAGACATTGGATTGTGACCTCACCTTTGAGATTCTTGACCTGTGTCACAATGTTCTTGACCTGTCCACCCACGATGTCCTCCAGCCTTGAAACACCGATGTCCACCTTTCGGAAGATGGAAACGAAGAACTTTCTCTGCTCTTTCCACGATCCTCCGTTCGCAAACGCAATACCTGGAGAAAAGAAAGGGGATGAGAAAAAGGCGTATAACAAAAACAGCGACTAATGATATTGATAATATTAATGATAATAACAATAATACAGCTGATAATAATGATAATGAATAAATTATAATAATGAAAACGAAGAAGAATAAAACAAGATTAAGAAGATGGAGATTATCAAACAATGTTATAGTTATGTATTTATTTCGAAAACTGCAATTCTATTCCTTACATATGCGGTATAATCTTTTACACATTGAAATTGAAGTTGTACATGGCTTGTATACACATTGCAAATTAAGCCTGCCCTTACCCTTGTCTCATCATATGAACCTAAATTTTGTTATATTATCCACTCTCTGCACTCCAGCCGTCGGCCGTCTGGTTGCTTACTTACAAGCATTTATGATTTCTTAGCTGTCGGGTAAAATAACCACCAATATAACCACAAAATAACCAAAATATTATTAAATAAGTATGGGTAGTTATCGCCAGATGTTTTCATTTTATAAGCACGTAAGAGATTGATATCAAGTCTAAGATATATTAAGATACAAAATTACGAATTAGTAAATGCATGATTGGGTTCACCGCAGTATGGCGCACTTCTTCTATCTGGTTATTAATATTATAGGCCAGGTCTCCAAGTTGACACATAAACACAACCCAATAAAGCTTTGAGCCTTGAAGGTCAGGAGTAGCTGGTTATACATTGTACGACATTTGCTCCTAAGACAATTACTCTGCGGTCATTTCCATCTCTAACCTCCTCCCGACTTCAAACTTGGATCCAAAACTGCACCTATCCCTATCCCTAAACCTAGACCTAACTTAAGATCTAAATGCGACCCTAATCCAAACCCTTCACTCTAAAGGCCGGAGCAATTCTCGCCGGAACAAATGTCAGAGCACCAAACAGCCATAGTACATGGTCCATGATGGAGTTCAGTAGAATGTGGAACTCTAAAAACTCTTAAATGACCTCGGATTGATTTCTCGAAAGTGTTTTATTTTGAAAGAAAACAAATGCAACAATAGGATTTTAAAAAGTAACAGGACAAACATTTGATTTGAATTACAAGCACATGCACCATAATTATTATTTATTAGGGAGAAACGTTCTGTTCAAAGAATAATCCAGCACAAGAACTAGGTGGTGCCGATTGTGATAATTTAGTCTTTTAGATGTCTCTTTGTACTAGTACGATCGCAGGGAATTTCGAGTACTCAGCTGAGCGGCAAGATTTTCATACCCTATTTTGCTGATTTTAGGAATCATGTTTCGAGCGTGTAATAATATTTCATTGTACTGTTCACACATTTCAAAAGGTGGCGCAAATTGTTTTGGGAAATCGCCTAAAATTGAGCTCTCGCCATTATGTTAACTCTATAGTTCTAAGGATGAGATGATGGAACACTCACCATTGTTTTCCCGACCCAAGACGTAGTCCGATGCGAAGAAGGGAGCCCGGTCACACACATCCGTGTTCTGGAAAGTCTTCTGCATCACCTCCTTGTCGTTGATGATGACGACGCCGGTGCCGAAGATCTTGAACCAGAAGACATCACCATACTTCTTGCTCCACCCGTTGATAAGCTCGTGTTGAGGGAGCTTGGAAAAAGCGACGGTGAGGAGGTTGCCGAGAACGGGTATGCCGCTGGGTCCGGGTGGATGGGTGAGCTTCTTCGAGCTGTCATTTTTTCTCCTCAGACTGAATAGGACGACGAGGATGATGGTGAGACCGGTCGTCAACAAGGTCGAAAGATTGTGAGTTAAGAAGTCTGTTGACATCACCTGTGCCATTTTCAAATGTTTGTAATTTCTACCCGTTGATCTCTATGAGCAATCAAATGGTCTTGTCAGCTGTTCTTATCTTTTACCCCAGCAGATGGCTTCTTTTCAGTATTCTGAATTGATAAGTTTATGAATACGATTGCAACAGTGATAACGTTTAGTGCAGCTTTAAATTAAGAACTTTCTGGAACAAAGTGAAGAGTTTTCAAGCCAGTTTTGAAACCAGTAGAGCTGTCCGCCTTTGCTGTCGTTGATTTTTAGCTCAGAAGCAAAAGTTACTGTTGATCGAAAATTCTGTAAAATTTCGAACGTTGTTAAGGTCACGGAGAGCGAAACGATTGCCGTCGGAACACGTATGTCTGTGATATCCCTTTGGCAGTGGAAGTGACTTTTATACCGTCAGAACAAGCCTTCCTCCTGCTGTTCACCTCGCCTTAGTTCTAGTAAGTTTGTGGGCGTAACCTATGAAGTTGTGTTGTTATCGGTGGAACCACAAATTATAACGGGGCAATGCAACTAAACAACTATCTCGATTCGATAAGCTAAATTAGGGGATTATTACTATGCCCAAATAAGACTAATTATTTGAATGTCTATTTTTGTTTCTTAATTGCCCCTGTGTCAAGCGACGTACTATATTTAGGGCATCTAATTGCAAAAAAGTGATAAAAACATCTTAATTGTTCGCCCTCATCCATGTCCGATCTTCCTAGAGCCTATTTTTGTTTCTTTCTTTTTTATCACACTGACCTGATTATTATCTTGATTTTTTTAGCCTATTTCTGGATCGGCTGTATATTTTTAACCCTATATCTTTTCAGTAGAGTAATTAATATATCAGTGAATTTGATTAAAGCATCTTTAATTCAAAGCCAGAACGTATAGTCACAAAATGACCTACCTTGTTATCTAAACGATGTTATTCTCTTTGAAACTTTGGCAAAGTGTTAGTCCTCTTCAAGCTTCTGTTTTTATTTTCTTTATATTCCTAAAGGGGTGTCAATATAAATTAGGGGCGAACTGTCATAACCTTAATTGACCCTTGAATTGTATTTAGCACAATTGCATAAACGAAGGCTATACAATTTTGTCCCCTATCATCCGAACCCCTCCGCCCCATCCCCAACTAAAATAACAATATTTTTAAACGGTTACTATGCATAACATTACAAACTACTACAACTTAACCAAAACACGAAGATTCAATTAAATTCATTTTCAGATATAAAAAATGGCATGGTAAGTGTTAATACCAGGTTGTAATTTTTTTTTTGGTGGCCCTTCCGATTTATACTGTCATTTTGCCCACGTAAACATAATAAATTGATCGTCGATGACAACATTTTGATAGACACCATTATCCTATAGCAAAACAAAAGTTTGTCAAACAAAATTAATGCTGCACGAATATTCTTCGACTCTGGTTTACACAAGCAGCTACACGAGAGGTAGGATAGAATAGCAAACACCATTTTGTTTCCTTTATAAATGTCGAATATGAGTTGGGAAAAAAATGGACGCAGGATATTTCGCGGCGGAACTTAGAGGGATCCGGTAACTTTGTCTCAGATTCTGAAGCAAGATTCTGGATTTAGCTCATGTTGCAATGATAATTATAAACCTTTAGGTCAGTCAGGAAACCCATGACTTTTACAAGCCGATCGCCTGTCTGATTATCAAGATATTTATGATTGGAATTATAAATTTTGAAAACCGTTCGCCTGACGGTTTTCATAACTCTACAGTCTAATGGGGAAAATGAGAATGGTAAAACCGGTCACTCATAGATTTTTACTTTTTTGAGGCACTTCTTGATCATTTTGAAGCGCATTTTTTTTTAGGGCTTCAATATTATACCATATCACAGACACTGATAACACGTAGGGCCGTGTATTTCAGATTTAACATTGTTAAACGATCCCTTTAATTGAACATTCGTCCGGGGGTAGTTCCTCCGAATTTAAATAGTCGGTTTGGAGCCAGAAGGGCGATAATAAATTATAGTTACGATTGAACACGTGAATTTACGCCTTTATGGCTACTAACAAACTATTTAATCTGCCCAAACAGATCGTAGTAAATCAGAAATTTCTTTTGAAAAAAATATTTTTAATGATTTTTTAATAAAGTATTGGGGCTTGTGCGTGTAGTGAGGGTGTGCGTGCCAATGTGTGAATGTGTTGTCTATTTTGTTATTGCTTTATTATTTGTGGTTAAACTAACTTAGCTGAACTCTGGTCAAGCTTTATCCACATGTTCGATCTGGTCACTAATCTATTTGTCTACAACTTGTAAGTAGCCTAAATCAAACAGCGTCTCTGTTTGATGTAAAAGATAATATTGACTTTAAATTCGCAGATTTCATCTTGTAGTAGGTTTCGTAATCTTTGTTTTACCCGTCCACATGACTAAACTTAAAAGATCTTTTCATCATGGAAGCCTTTTTTTCCTTCCATTTTTAGTTTGTTTTTGGATTGGTTAATCTGATTGTATCGTAGCAAGTCCAAGCTATTTTGTCACATACGTTTAACCACATCTGAGATGTCAGTATATGTTGTTGGGTTTTGAGCTGGGTTTGTGCTAGGTGTTGGATTGGGTACGGTGTAGGATTCTTGTCGGGGGTTGGGATTGGGAGTTTGATTAATGTACTGAATTGCCGCGGAGTAATTGTGGCCGGAGCAGGTGTCGTAGAACTAATTATATTACTTATAATGTACAATTTTACCACCATAATATTATCATGCATATGTTTTACGTGTATTTTTTTACTTTGTCACTGATGTATTGTACTTTGTAAAAAAAACTGCAATTCGGCTCTCGGGCCTTAAACCATTTTAAATTAATAAATGAATTAATAAAATATCTGATAACTGTATCAAGCTGATAGCCCTAATTATTAATTACTCTTTATTCTATATACAGTCAAACCTGTCTAAAGCGACCGCCAAAGTGAAACACACAAAATGTTTTTTGTAGACAGGTGGCCTGTGTAATAATAGTGTAAACTTATAGAGCGCACACACCGTCCAGAGACGCTCATGGCGCTAGCTCAGCAACAGTTTTCTTTGATACAAGTAAAGTAAATAATTTTGCAATATTTTTTGCAATAATTTGTTATAATCCATTTTCAATCCTCAGCTCTGCCTGTGTACTTGTAGACAGGTTCCTTTATTGGATACAAAGTAGTTTAAATGAACAGTCATTATTCTTTTCTCTTGTTGTTTATGATCTTGACGTTATTATTTCTCTATTACTCTGTTGGTATCTTCCTGATTCCCTCTAACGGTAAATTTTCCCAACCAATTTTTGAATTATCCCAAACTTGTTCCAATGAAAGTAGGACATAAAACAGGCTTTAAAAACATTTCAACACCTACATTTTTAGAATGGTATTTAGAGCCAATTAATTGCTTTGTGACGATTTACATTCACTTAAAATTAATTTAATTATGATAATATAGTTAGGAGAATTTAGGAAACGATCAGAACAGTTTTTCCCAATTTGTATGATTAGTAATAGTTTATTTTCACTCAAAATTTCAAATTATCTTTAACTGTACATCTAACATTAAAGTCACCACCTTAGCACCATTTTCTCTCATCTGAAAAATGCTACCAAGTCCCTTTAACTAGAAGACCGAACTGATGCTCGATGACGATCATACATGACCCCACTCTTTTCGGCCACTTCCTTTACATAAGCGTTTAACATGAAGGACAGGATATGAGGCATTGTTCGAATCTCAAGAAAAGGTTACTTCATTATTTCCTCATATCGCACGAACATGTCCATTGGAGGTTAATATGCATTTCCCCCCAGTTATTGGTCTGGTATTCTTTGCCGATGCTTGCCTACAATAGAGTGTTGCTTTTATTCTTTAATTTTGAACGACAGGAAGAGACATTGTTCGAATTTCAAGAAAAGATGGGTTACTTCATTATTTCCTCAAACAGCATATCGCACGAACATGTCACTTCCTTCGTTCATTGGGGAATAATTGTGCATTCTCCCCCAATTATTGGGACATACATTTTGCACTTCGTTTTTTTTTCTTTGCCGATGCCTGCTTAGTGTAAAATATTAGGGTTTTTATTTTTGTACTTTAAATGATCTGTAATATATGTCTCTTTGTTCGATTATTCATGTGTGTATAGTGAATTTCGATTTCATATTTCTCTATATATACTTTAAATTCTGGACCCCTTGGTGGAACAACGCCACCATGTTGGTGGATGCTGAGTAGGGCCATCAAGCCGTTTATCTCTTTTAGTATGAGTACATATTTTGTGAATTAATGTTTCGATTATTGTACTTTTTTTTATAATGAAATAAATTCAAATCAAATTTAACAAGAATGAGAAAATGAGAAATTTTCCGGTTTTCCAAGAAAGATTACACAAATATTTCCCTTAAAAATTCTTATAGCACTGCATACATAAACACAAATGCAGTCGAATGTTGTTTTTTGTTTTTTTTTTTTTGTTTTTTTTTTTGGGGGGGGGGGCCCTGTATTATCAAGAGTTGCGATTGATTCAAATCAATGGCAACGGACAAATTAATCGCAACTGTGTACTAAAACAGGAGACGGGATCGACTTGCGAGCAATTTGAATCAATCACAACGCTTTATATGAATACGGGGTACAGGTTATACCAACAAATTATTTTGTTTGATTTCTGTGTCTGTAACAAAGCGTACTTGCCTTTTCATGCTTGAATAAAATAGCACCTGATTCGACGATCACTACACATAGCCTAATTCAGGAGATCATTCGAAGTTGATAATCTTAAAAACAGTTTTAGGAATATTTATGGAAGTATTATGAATGGGAAATTATGTACAGCCGTTCAATTTTTAAATACAAATTTCAACAAATGTTTTGAATAATATAAATGAAACATGCTATACCAAGAAGATGACATTTTTAAAAGTCCATAGATGGGGGAAAATAAGTATATACGGATATCAACATCGATTCGATAAACGATCCAGCCAATGAACGTGGATAGGCCAAAAATTAGTGGGGAAGTAACAACGCTTTCAGTTTAGATTTGATAAAGATCTCAACATTTTACATTTTTTCTTTACTTATCTGGAGTGCTTTGATAGAAAATGAACTATTATGTCAATAGATGGCGCTCTGTCAATCAATCTACATGATATACATGAACTTCAGTCACCCCGCCGAACCGACTACAAACCATTTTTTTGTTTGGTTGGTTGGCTGTTGTTTTTTTTAAACGATGATATGATGATAATAATAATAATAGCTAGTTCTTATATAGCGCTTTTTTCAGTATCATCCTGAAATAAATAAAAAGAGTTTCAATTAAAAAATTACATTGTCGATTTCATATGCTGCAAAAAAAATTAATGCAAGCTTGTTCTGTTGGAATAGCTGGCATACTATTTCCCCAGTCCTTCTCTCTCTCTCTCTCTCTCTCTATATATATATATTCCTTATGCTTTCTTTCTCTTTTTATTCCCTTCTTTCTATTTCTGTCTATTTTCATCTTCCTCCCCCTCTCTCTCGTTCTCTTTTAATATCTCTAATGTTTCTCTTTCTCTTTCTCTCCCTCTCTCCCTCTCTCTCTCTCTCTCTTCCCCCTCTATCTTTTTTCTTCTTCTCTCTCTCTCTATTACTTTTGCTTCCATTCGTCTCATATGGTCTCATAAAATAACGGGATCGTGTGATGTGTACGACAAGTACTGCGGAAGAGAATTCTAAATTTGAAAACAAAGTTAAGTTGTCAGGAGTTTTGTCCAGATGTTTGGTGTCTACAGATTCTAAATGCTCCATTTAATACTTTCTGAATGCAACTCTCCCCTCACATTTTCCCTTTCCTTCTCTCTCTCTCTCTCTCTCTCTCTCTTTCATTTTTGTTGGACTTCCACTTTCCACCATGCACTGTGTTCATATGAATATTTATTGTATGAACATGTTTACTTATGATGAGAACGTCAATATGACGACCCCTCTGTTTTATATATGATTTTATGTGACTATATATATGTTAACAATTCGTATAATTTTGATGATATATATATGGAAAATAATTGAACATCAAAATCAAATCAGATCAAGTACGGTTCACTCAAATATAATGATACAAGTTTATTCTAGAATTTTTTTTTTCTAAAAATATTTATGAAGAAATATATATGTAATATTCCTACACCGGTTATTAAGATGGATAAATGAATCATTTTTGTATTAAAGAAAAACACATTACCGTGACAGTACCGCCTAATTGCGACGAATTTACAAAGCTGTTACAGAATTATAAAATTTAATTCCAAATTACAGATGAGCGATGCCATTCATGATATAGGGAGTATTATATCAATGACACTGAAAAGGAAAAAAAACAACCTTTATAAAATACAACATTTAATATTTAATTTAAAAAATATATTTCATCAAAGAATAATCTGTATGTTACAATATATTTTCTTAAAAAACGATATTTCATTCTTTATTCAAATTACTTGATTCGCCAAAAGTTGTATATGTGTGACATTGTAAATTAAAATAACAGACCAAACCTGCAATACATTATTTGCTAATAATCATACAGTGCAAAATAGTAGAACTACAAATAAGATTATACAATGTGAATATACTGTAAATACGCAATTTCTTAATTCAAACAATCAGCTATATTTGGGCTTTCAATTTAATTACTTTAGCTAACACATAATTCATCTTCCATCTCTAGAACTGCCCATTGTATACCCTTCTCTTTTTTCTTATTTTCCCTTTTTTACAATTGATTATAAACATCATGTAAAATAAAAACTTTGGGGGAGGAACATGTACATACAACTATGACAGGAGCAACATTTATCTTATTAACGAAATTTGTTCCATGATTGTAGATTATAAGACAGTTTCATATAGACATAGCTACACCGACGATAAGGGCTTTTTAAAACGCGATGAATGACAAAGTTCTGGGCGCAACCTAAGACATGATATACGCGTATACTGAGTTGTGTGCTAAAGGATACAGCAAATAAGAAGTGTATTTTCACCTAAAACAAAAAAGGAAACTTCTCGAAGAATTAAAAAAAAGGAGCCTCTTATTCATTTTAATTGTATAACATACTGTCCGGAAACAATTAGAAAAGGTCGTTTATGTAGCACATTTTAATGGGAAAATAACATTATTTTTTTTTTAATTATCAAAGTTATATAACAATTCTATTCTGGGTTTATGAAGTGCTTTTTAGAGTATTACTCCTGTCATCGGATTTAGGCTCGCCCAAACACAATGTATACACATTTTCAACTCACTGGGGAGCATTTCAAACCAGGCGTCATTTTACAGACGCTCACAATTATAACAATGCTGAGCAAACTATATCCTATACCGGGCAATCTGGGTTGCAACTTGTAGGTGGGAAATGTATGTTTCAATATACATTAAAAAGGACGCTAGTGCGGTGCTGGGATTCGAACCCTCAACCCTTGGATCGGGAGTCAAGTGAAGGGACCACTATACAATGGCACCTTCAAAATGATAAGAGATGAATTCAGTCTTGGACATGCACTGTACATAGAAATCGGGTTAGAAGCTTGTGGCATAAACGTTTGGTCCAAGTTTGGTCCAAACCTTTCCAGGGGGGGGGGGTTCGTTTCACGATATTCTTCCCAACTGACATACTAAGTTTCAAGTTTCAGTTTCAAGTTTTATTTCAATTCAAATCCATTAAAAAAAACCATAAAATACAGATTATATACAATATAGAAAACAGAGAACACACACAAAATGGAAACATGTCTACATAATATACCGGAATTACACAAAGTTATTCAGCAATATAAATGAATTGGGAAAACTGCAAATAAAACCATAAGGTTATGTCGAAGGCAGTCCCTGTTATTACAAGAAATGTCACATATAACGTTTCACCTTGAAACAGGAAAAAAAACAGCGCCATCTAATCATTAGTGATGAACAACTAAACAAAAAACAGCACAGCCAGGCAGAAATAATCGTTTTAGATTGGTCATCCTTAAAACCCAAGAACAAGAACAACAACAAGAACTCGGCATTCTCTTCTTTATTAACGTCGAGGAGCTGCAGTGATTTTGTAAGGCTTGGGATGATGGGTGAGACCGTTGATGCCATTCCGGGTGATGGGCGTACCCTCAGGGAGTCGCAGGGTGAAACGATGCAGGATATGAGTGAAGATCACAAAGAGTTCTGTACGAGCCAATTGTTCACCTGGACACACCCTTCGACCTGGAGTGCAAATTGATTATGATGATGATAATAACGATAATGATAAGAATAATAATTATAATAACAATAATAATAAAGATAACAATAGTAATAATAAAAATGATAATATTTGATAGTAATAATAATAATGACAATTAAATAGTAATTTTCATCACGGCGATAACTTAATGACCCGACATTTACTCCTGCGGCAATAACGGCTCAGAGCTTCATTTCGTCAAAAGCATAGGGCTTGGTGTTTCAAGGAGATGAGATTGGGTTTCAGGTAAGGTTTACGGCTAACGTTATGTTCATGCATAGCGTTAGGTCAAAGGTCAAAGTTTTAAAAATCGGTGATTTAGTCCTTGATAACCATAAAACCGATCACTTACCGACACCGAATTCAACCAGCCCAGCTTCCAGTTTGCTATTGTACAGGCCCGTCTCCTTGTCGATGAACCTATCTGGGACGAACTCTTCAGAATTCTCCCAAAGCGAGGGCGATGAGGAGAGCCAGCTTGCATTCGTACCGACGTTCGTTCCTTTCGGGATGTCGTAGCCTCCAAGTTTTACGTCGCAACGCGTTCGATGTGGGATTTGGACGTTGATCAGGCGGCAGAAGCGGTAACACTCTACACTGGTCGATTCCGTGAACGGGAGATTTTGGCGGTCAGATAGAGACGGGAGACGATCTCGCCCGATCACCTTATCGAGCTCAGCTTGCACTTTGGCCTAAAACGACATGAAGTAGAGAACAGGTTCTGAACTTTTGGACTTGTTTCAATCAACCGTTCTTGGTGAATACCGTGACACTCTAATTAAGATTCAACTCGGGTGTGTTTAATAGTGTTGGTTGGTTGGTTGGTTTTATTTTCCGTATACGAATTCAAATACATACAAGAATAAAATTTACAAATATAATACAAATCAAGAATTAAAAACAGTTGGAGCCTTCCTGTGTGCGTGTGTGAGTAGTCGTAGGTGTGTGTGTGTAATTGAGATTGCAAGATTATTATTATGACGGGAGGTCGATTAAGATTACAAAATATCTGGAAATAATCCTGCTCCAAGATGTGTTAGTGTGTGAGAGACTCCCTGTGTGCGCGTTAGTAGTCGTATGTGTGTGTGTGTGTGTGTGTGTGTGTGTGTGTGCGTGAGTGTGTGAGTGCGCGTGTGCGCGTGTGAGTGTGGGTGTGTGTAATTGACTTTTATTTTTAAAGAGTAGATATTGTGACGGGGGTTAGAGAACTGGTACTCAGTAGATGTACAAGATTACAAGATATAACCTTCAAGATATCTGGAAATATAATCCTATATACTCAAAGATGTATACCATCCAGAACGGTGTGCGTTCTTACAGATTGACAACATTCATACAATTTACGAACTCGCGATAGCCATGAGGATTGGGAAATTTCAAAAAAGGAGATCAAAAACATTTTTGTAAGAGCCAGAGTTACAATTCTTTCGAAAAAACTTAAGGAATTTTAGTACAAACTACTCCACGGAGTAATTTATACAAAAGAGCATCCCTCAAAATTTGATTTTGTTGATAATGACCACTGTTCTTTTTGAAAACATACGTCAGAATCAAACAATTATTTTGGGATTGTGGAAAAATGGGGCTAGTATAACTACAAAACGTTAGGTGGGAAAATATACATGTTGGCATTATAAGAAATACATCGAGAAATAAATTCTGCAAAAAAAAAATATAATAAAGTAGGCTTATATGATATTAAGACAGAGACAGAGTCAGACATAGAGCTGAGAGAGAGGGAGTGGGAGTGAAATAAAAATAGAGAGGAAAGACCAGAACTGAAGAAGAGAAAAGGAAATTTGAAAAGTATCAAGTTCGAATAGAGAAAAGGGATGAGGGAGTGAGAGTAAGGATATAGAGGGTGTAATTCATATTTCATACACAAAATAAATTGTTTGAAATGATATTGAAATATAGGGATGGAAAAAGAGGTTTGCAATGAAAAAAGTTAGTTAGGATTAGTGTTTAACTACATCTAGTTTCATGAAATACTTACCATCTTCAACAGAATTGAAGGAATGAATGAATAAATTTTAGTATATTGTTACCTTTCTTTCTTTCTTAGTGGATTATATAAACGATGAAGGCTATATATAAAATAGTACCAATGTGTCGTTATTTTCATCAAAATAGAATATTTAAAAAATATTGTAGAGAAGCTGACAAATGAGAATGATAATATAACGCCGTTAATCGTGAGAATACTCACTTCTATCCCGAAAGAGTAAATTGCTACTTCATGTCATGGTTGTATTACAGAGCAGCAATGGCAAACAATAATTGTCGCTTAAATTGAGCAATAAATATTGCTGAACTTGCTTTTCCCAAAACTACCATGAGACATAAAGCTGGATAAAACTATGATCGACAAAAATGATATTGTCTTGAAAATATTCAGAAAATATTGGAAATAGAATGAATAAGACATAGATGTGTCATGTCCATCGAGGGTGATGAACTTGATTTGACCTTGCCTAATTGGATGCAGATTGATAAAACTGACAAAGTAATTTAAAGTCATGTATTATCATATGGTATCTATTAATTTTTTACTTGACTAAAAAAAAAAACAGGAGTTCTTAAAATGTATTTACTTATATTTGTTTCTGTAAAATCATTTTGTATAAGTCACATATTCAAGTGGAATCTGATTGAATTGGTATCGAATAAAGATCATGGGAGAAAAACAGAAGCGTGTAATTGGACTTTTTTGGTGGGGAGATATCACCAATATATAACCTTCCGAAAGCCATGAAACACTTTCAAACTGGGCTCCAATGTAAACATTTTGTAGGCGAAGACAGATATCTGATCGTACTGTTGACAGTAAGGCTAAGTATAGATCATCTCGCATCTCCCTAAGCTATTGGGCACTTTAATACCTCGTATACTTTGTACCCACCCTAATCTTTCTGCAGCGTACGTCTACTCGCACGATGTTCGCACGATGATAGTGATGATAAGATGAAGATGATAGATTTACCTGTACGTCTGGGTATTGAGCCATGAAGAGGAAGTACCATGAGAGGCTGGTGGAAACCGTTTCGATGCCTCCCAACATCAAATCCCATACGACCTGCTTGAGGCATTGGTGAGTGAAGGACCCGACATCAACGTTCTGTAAAGAAAGAAGGAGGGGGACATTAAAGTTAAGGTCGGCTCACATAGTAGCGGCAAACGACGGAATCAGAACGATTTTTTTTTTTGCCGCCACAAAATTTTCAACATACTGAAAAATTGCCGACGGACGCGACTGATAAATTCGGCCGTCTGCGGTCGCTAGCGGATTCGCCAGCGACAATTGAAGGCAACACACGTTGATTGGCGGGAAATTGAATATTGCAATTCGCTTTTTAGCAATTAGCTTGCGGTACCCCCTATATATTCGTCATAGTGTGAGTCGGCCTTAAAGTTGTGTACGGTCATGCTCTAACAGTCATGTTGCATTAGCGTAATCAAAGAGGGTGGGGAGTATATAGAAGGACGAACAATAAATCAAATCAAATCGAGTCAAATCAAACACCTTAAACATTTTCCCGAATGAGGCATTCCGCAATTGCAACTTAATTACATACGAAGGTGCATGGAATCTAGAATTAAGGATTTAAATTCTTACGTCTACAGCTATACAGTATTCTTTCAAAAAACAAAAAAAAATTAAAAAATATAAAAAAATACGGGGTTCAACTCTGACCTGTGCTTTCTTATTCGCCTCTTCATGCATGAATGCCTCTATCAAATCTTTCGGCTCATCCTCAGGGTTATACGCCTGGCGATGCCGCTTCAGGATCTTCTCCAGGAAGTCGAACATACCCTTGACAGCCGCATCTCCCATCTTGTTATTCTCCATCGGCATGTAGGCCAGGACCGGGACGTGGTAGAAGAACGATCCAGGACCCATCCATTCGAAGACCTGCTGGGCCCTCTTGGTCAACTCGACGAACTCCTCGTCGTTGTAGTCATACGTCTTTCCCGTCAGGATTCCGGTGATGACGTTTGAGACTGTGACGTAGATGTCTGTAATCGGATTGAAGAAGGTACCCTCCTGACTGGCGAAATTTTTGATGAGTTTTGCCGCTTCGGCTGCCACCAGATCCTCAAAGTTGCTGTTGTGCTGTTTTACATTGCGAAGATATTGAGTGACAAAACTGCGTTGTTCTTTCCACAGATGGCCTTCGTTTGCTGATATTAGCCCGAGCCCTTAATGCAATGGAGTAAAGAAGATCATTTGTGTAATTCTTAAATAAGCAGTATAGATTTAAAGTAGATATTCATTGATTTTAAAAACTAACTTAATTTCATTATTGCAAAGTTGAAACTTTGATTCGACAAGGTTATCAAAATTCAATGCTTGGAAACATTCGAAGTAATGATTATTATAAATTATAAAACGCTTAAATACAGCCCCGGCATAGCACCTGAAGAGCTCTCCGAACGCTGCTGAGATGTGTGAGATCACAGTATGGACACGATTTGCACAAGCAGATGATGTCCCATGACATCTCACACATTTTCAGTGCCTGTGTTTTCATCTTCTCTTGAGTTCTTTCTCTTACTTCACTACCGTCAGGCTAAATGTATAATCTATTGCCTCACTCTAAATCCCGTACATGGTTTTATTTTGATGACAAATGCAGCGATATAAAAATAAAGGAATCTGTCGCTTGTAAACAAAATAAGACGCCATTGAATATTCAGCTGCACACAACGCGGTATGTTCGGCGTTTCAAGAGGGAACAAATGCCGTCCTTAATATCATTCCGGGGGGTTTCAATTCGAAAGTCTGGTTTCTTTGATTGTTAATTAACCCCTATCCTGTGTATTTACGAGCAAATTTTTTTAGTTATCGGAATCGGGTCATATCCCCTTTTGAATGGTTTGACATGCCATCACATTTATATACACTTAACTCATTATAATTTGACAAATAAAAGCTTTGCAATTATGTTCATTCTTTATGGGATGTCGTCTGCTTGGGCAGTATTGGTCCATATAGTGACGTCATTAAAACATCGTTATTTTTCCGGCGAATCTCTCGTATATCCCAGCTGCTATGCAGGTGGTTGTATTTGTATTTTTTATAAATCACCCGATATGTAGTTGACCTAAAACTTGTACGATGGCCATCTGTTAGCTTACCAGTTTCTAGTCATACATTAGTTGACATATTTGTGATTTTCTTTGAATTTCACCTTTAAGAGTAACATACTTCATCCCTGACTACGGAACTCTACTGGTTATATCTACAGAATCTTCTACGACACATTCTTTTTAAAAGTTGTTTATATGGCTTCAAAGTTCTAATCATATGGCATATGAATATCTTAATTTCACCATCTACTGTTGCGTACGCCACGAGGTGTTTTAAAATTGAATGGCATCTTTAATGTGACCCTGTGAGGTAGCGAAGCAACCGAACAGGAGAAGGTGTTGGAGAGGGTTATTCCATTTTTTTCCTCCAAATTTTACAGTAAATAGAGACAGATATATGAAATAGATGTCATTATGTACATGATATATATAAGCACGTTACAATGATACTCAATTCACACTTGAGATTAAAGAGAAGGTTGAGTTCTGGGAAGAGGTGAACAATAATTTGTGAGCATTATCATTCTTATTATGCAAGTGTGGAAGAACATCAGATAAGTTCCCTGAAAAGCATGGCTCTTCGAATGCCTTCATATTCTAAATATGTCATGTAACATCGTAAATATCCGGGTAGGATTTTTACACCAAGTGTTTGTGTAGTCCCATACACATCTTTCTGTGTACAGCGTTTGTAACTTTACCAAGACTTGGCCAAATTTCTTATCATTTTGATGATTCCAGAACCTTGCAATACACACAAATTCTTATATGCTAGATGATCAACCTTTTCTGGTCGATTCCACACCGTTTCTTTCACAACACAATCGCATGACCAGAACTCAACTTCATCTTTAAGTAAAATGTGAGGAACCTATTAAAAAGTGGTGTTGTAGATTATAATTTTCAGATGAAATAGACATTGTAGATCAAAGGAGTACGAAGCTTTTTTTTTAAGTAAGAAGAAAAGGGGGCACATATCCAAAGGGAAAAGGACACTTATTTGAAAAATGTACAAAATAAGGGGTTTTAAGCCAAGTTTGGGGTGGGAAGGATATTCCCACCACCCCCCACCCCCCTGGTTCCTACGCCTGTGTTGTAGATGAAAGTGGGAAGGATATTCCCACCACCCCCCCCCCCCTGGTTCCTACTCCTGTGTTGTAGATGAAAAGTTTTGAGGTAGTACTAGTAGGGAAAGACATAATTTAGAGGGGGAATTTGAAACACAATGGAATGAGGAAATTTGTATAAAAATATGAGTAAAAGGGTTGAGGGCCCCTTATAGTAATTATACTACATTTTTTTTAATTTTTAATATATGAAATCCTATATATATATTTTGTTTTTTTGTTTTTTTGGGGGACACTAATGTATCATGCCAAAATATCACATTTAAGTTTAAAAACTCTGATACCAGTGACATAGTAATGCAGTGTTTTGCCTTGTTAACTATTCAGTGTAATTCCATTATCAAAATATAGGACATAAGATACAAAAATTGCAAATATTCGTTGCCCAAATATCAGGTGACGGGTGCCCGAATATTGCAAGTTTACAGATTGTAGGGAGGTTGCAGCTTTAATATTTTTTTAAATAATGTACGTGTTTAGCAAATGGACAGATATCATTCTATTCCCACCTGTATTAGATCTGTTCAGAGCTTTGTTGCACGGTAGAATAGGAGCACGATCGTTGAAGTCGGGACTCTGAAACGCCTCGTGGACGAGATCGTAGCTGTTCAGGATGACAAACCGCGAGCCGAACATGCTGAACATGTAAAGGTCCCCGTACTCCTTGGCCCACATGTTTAGGAGGTCCCGCAGTTCATACTTTCCCGATGTTAGCGTCAGGTAGGACCCGATGATGGGCCAACCTTTTGGACCAGGTGGAAGCTTGTATCGTTTGCGACGCAGCAGTTGGACTACGAGGTATCCCACGATGCACGTCAGGACTGTCGTAGTTAGATACGACGTCGTTATCAACTCGGTAATCATCGTTGTTTTCTACAGTATGGGGTGCACAGCTGTAACAGATAACAGTAGACTTGCGTAAAATGTATTTAATTTAGATCCAATTTAATATGCTTGTTGTGCGTGAGATGTCGTTTGCCCGACGTAGGATGGCGTCAAAGGGCAACTATGACGCGCTATGTGGCACAGAATGAATAATAACATCAAGTCTCTTACAGGATGCGTCATTAGAGACTTTTAGATTTGCACGTCGACATAATCGACTGCTACGTTTAAGGCACTGGCAGTGCCTTAAAAGAGCATCGCAGTGCCTTAAAAGGACGTCACATGTAGCAGTCCACTATCTCGACGTGCAAATCTAAAGGTCCCTATTAATCTACCCGACGTAGGATATGGCACAGGGCCAGAGGCCCGTTTCATAAAACTTGTTACCTATTACTACAACGGCTAAATTTTTATGACAAATGTGCTCTCAGCTAATCAGATACCATGATTTCAATAGCTTATAACAGTATCTTGTAACTTGTTATTGGTATCAAGTGTTATGACACAGGGCCCAGAATGAACAATGCAAACATCAAACACGTATTTAATCAGGATGCGTCATTTTGCTGACGTAGGATTGCGTCACCGACTGGCTTGCCCTTAAGACGTCTTTCAATTTAGAGTCAAATCGGAAACAGAGTGATTTCAAAGTGAACAGTTACAAAAATTGATTGATTGATTGATGTTCTGTGACTTTCCATATACATAAGTGTCATCACAGATAGGCCTTTATGAATTTTTAACATGGTCACATGAAATCACACATAGAAAAATAAAGAGGTCGTCATAATCAAAGCTTGATCGGTTGGCCAACACAAAAAATAAGAGAGAGAGAGAAAAAGAGAGAGAGAGAGAATGTAAGAAAGGGAAAGGAAAAAAGAATAGTTTCAGTCAGATAGTATTGAGTGGAACTTTTAAAGCTTATCTGCCGTAGTTTACAGGAGGGATTAGACAGCCCTGCAAGGTCACTGGACAGGTGGTTATCTCATCAACTCAGCTCTCAGTTAACATAAGAAAAAGAGGATCATGGGGGACCAATGGTCACCGATTGATCATTGTTTGTTATATAGAGGGCGCAAGTAGCTACAAGTAGTGCAGTGGGCCTTTAAAGTCTGAGATTTTCATGTTGTAACCTAGCTAGCTAGGTTTGATTTGATTTGATTTGATTTATTTATTTCTGTTTGATTTTCTTTTTCTTTTGCATTTTTTAAAAATATATAACAAACAAATATTGCAAATTTACACATGACAAAAGAATATATGTAGAATAAAGTAAGGCTGGCTGTAACTAATCGAAAACATCAGGTACAAGTATCTAGATTTAACCATTGCATGAAATTTACCTCATAGATTGGATTGGTGCAGGTGAATAACGCCTGGCGTACAAGGGGCATAAGGTATGGCGGCTATCTTGGTACCCATTCCGTATAGATTTAACCATTGACCTTTGATATGTTTCGACAAGACTTGATACAGATGAAAATGGGTCGCTTAATGATATTGATCCAGATTATACTTTTTCACATCTAATAATAGGTATAGCACACCAAAAATAAGTACACCAAACACAATTGATGATTGCAAATGATCAAGCTTTGTGAAAGCTTCAAAAAACAAAAAACAGAATTGAAATCGGTCAATGCGTTGGGATTTTATATCATTTTTTTGAAATCGCAAAATTACCGAAAAACCTGCCAGAAATGGTCAAATTGGCAAAAATGGCAAATTTCGACAAAGTTGACAACTTAATTCATCACTTTCTCGGACATAAATAATAAATTAAATTATCAGACACTAAAATATCATCTTTGTGGATCACCGTCACAGCTATTTCCTCATGTGTTTCACAAATTATTCAGAAAAACCGATCAAATGGTAAAAATTTGCAGACTTTCAGCTACATCACAGTGTATTTCTCTTTTTAAAAGATGTCAGATTTGAGGATTTATGACGATTTTCCGAGAAACCATTCAACCGGCCATAACATTCCACAGGGACTGAATTTAAGAGTAAAAAAAGTTTGGTGACCCCAGTAGATATGTGGCTACTTTAAGTTTAAACAAAACATTGATTCAATGAGTGAAACACATGAGGATATTGCATTTTTTGTAGGGGAGTTTAATACATTGAGGTGCATTTTCACCAAGCAGAATAAAAGTGCAAGTAAATGGGCGATCAGCGGGCCATGTCACATATGGCTGAAAAGACAATATTCTAATTAAATAATTTAACATATTTCCCATATGCCTATAACAATGAAACTACACAGAATTGTAGTTAAAGGTATGCTTGAAATATATGTGAAATAAAACTTTAATAATATTGTTTAATTTTTTTTAATAATTAAAAAAAAAAAAAGAAGCTATTTCTACCAACTGACTGCTCTTGTGTGTGTGTGTGTGTGTGTGTTCGCGGGGCAGACTGTGTGCACAGGCAGTGTGATCACCCTACTAATAATCCCATTAAGTACTGGCTACCTGTTGATTTTAATGTGAGCCAAGATTTAACTAATAACTATAAACATATATTTAGCATTCTCCACTTTAATTCTAGAAGTTTGAATAACAAAATTGACGCTATTGATCAGTTTATTAGTCAACTTAACTTGAAATTTTCTATATATGGTTTTAGTGAAACCTGGATTCACGATAACACAATGTTATTATTTAATATAGATGGTTACACATTTTATCATAATGATGGACGAGGTAGGAGAAGTGGAGGGGTTGCACTCTTGGTCAATGATTTATTTGATGCTAAAGTTCGAAATGATATTTATTTACCTGAAACTCTCTGTGAATATCTTTTTATTGAAGTCATATTGGATAATGGTAAAAACATCATTGTTGGTATAATGTATAACATTGATCTACTTAAATATAATTCGCTTCAATGCATTGATGATTTTGTAAATATTATGTATAGCAACTCATTTCGCCCAAAAATTGACAAACCTACAAGAATATGTAAGAAGTCTGTCACTTTGATGGATAATATCTTGACAAATGTAGTCACTAAAGACATTCACTCTGGTATTTTCTATAGTGAGATAACAGACCATCTACCTATTTTCCAAATAACCAACCTCTCTACTAGTTCTTGTCATAGACCATCTTCATTTTTTCCACATAAGGAAAACGGATCCTTTAAATTTAAATTCATTTCAGAGGGATTTATCTGTTTTAGAATGGAATGAAGTATTTTTTCTTGTGATGTAGATGGGGCATATAATTCATTTTAAACATATTATTTAAAACTGTGTATGATTATAAGTTTGTAGTTCGTAAAGTGAAGAAAAGAAAACTGCCACGAAAACCTTGGATAACGCTTTTACTGTTAACAAAATAAAAATAAAAAGTATAGATTATATAAAACATTGTGTCAGAAAAGAAACGACAGCAATGAATGTAAATATAAAAAAATTAAAATAAACTAGAAATTTAATTCGTCATGGGGACGAATTAGGTGGTCTGTCTTCAAGTCTCATGAGAGATTATAATATTTACTATATTGAGAAAGGGAGAAGTTATATAGACATGTAAACAATGATGATCATCATGATGATCATGATGATGATGATCTTGATAGTAATGGGGATGACGATGATGATGATCATGATGATCATGATGATGTTGATGAATATCATCAACAGACCACGATGACATCAGACTGAACAAAATTAGAGAACATTTAGATAGCGTATAGTCTCAGCTACAACATACTCAAAAATCAACAAAAACCAAGCAGAAATAACAGCGATATTGCTCGCAAAAGACAAGAATGTAGAATCCAGATTTGAGAAAAAGTCATCTCCCATAAGGATTACACGCCAAAAGTAATGGATCTAGTGATAATAGGGTAATAATAAAGTAAATATGGTTGTTTATTACATTATTTGCAATTGTACGTGTTTTAATATTCAAAGGAGATGGTAGAGTGAAAGGTCAAAAAGAAAAAAAAGTGAAGAAAAAAAATTGTTGGAGACGCCCGGACTCGAACCAGGGACCTCGAGGTCGGAAGTCAAGTGCGTTACCGATATACCAAAACATTTCCCATAGAGATTACACGTAAACGGAAAATGGAATTATCAAATCCCACTTTGCAAGTGAGATATGAGCATGATCCCGGCATCTGATCGAGAAATAAAGGGCACACTTGTGATAGCTTATTGTCTCAGCTACAACACACTCAAAGCTCAGCGTAAACAAAGATAAAACGACGGAGATATGGCTCGCGAAAGACGAGAATGTAGAATACAGTTTTGAGAAAAAGTCATGTCCCATAGAGAATACACGCAAAATGTGAAAAATTGACATGCCTCCTTTAATCGCAAAAATACGCCATGATACCATTGTCAAAATGAAATATCGTGAAAAATGCATTTGTAGAGAATATTCTCAGGTAGAACATATCAAAATTTGAAAGAAAATTGATCAATATTTACAGAGAAACAATCAATTTTTCAAAAATCTGCTGACGTCATAATATGCAAATTGAAATTTTGAGTTCGGAGGCCATTATGATGACGTCATGAGTTAATTGAGGATCAAATGAGACATGAATTCATATCTCCAACTCATGCTTTTTCCAACCATGATATAAAAATTGGGGGTCAATGGACTATCTGAAGAGCTATTTTGATTTTTAAAATGGCATGTTTTTGATCAAATTTGCATTATATTGCCCATAGCAGCACGCGCGGATTTTGAACTTTGACGCGCGCTCACGGCCTTATGAAAGGTCAAGAGTGACTGAAATTAATGTAAATTGTCATTTACGGTAAGAGGAATCTAAATCATGTAAAAAAAATTAAATTTGACTTTTTACGCGCGCTGTGAGCGCGCGCAACGCGCGCGGGGACACTTACGGACGGAAAATTTTGAAATGCTTAAAATGACCTGAAACGTGTGCAAACAAAATTTGGGACGAATTGGAGCATTTTAAAAATTTTAAGCGGGCGTACGTGCGCGTCGAGGTGCGCGCACGGATTTTGTTGA